CTGGTTCAAAAGCTGCAAAAAACAGTACCTTTAATATAATAAAATACCTGACTATGAAGAAAACAATAATACACCAAATGCAGAGTTCATACAGATAATTAGCGTCTGTGACAAGGACAAACCCTAGATTCACAGAACTTTAATCTCTGTAACACGAAAACAAAACAGTTTTTTTTCACTACTTCAAATGAATATAGAATGGGGTCTAAATATCAACACTTACAACTGGGCTGCAACTCATATAAAACCAGGTCTTCTTCTTCACCACCAAAATCATGTGGTTGCTCATTCTCAACATGTGTAACAATAGATGTTTGTAAGTCCATAATCACCAAATATCCTATGTACTCTACAAAAATTCAAAAAATTATTGCCATAGAAATTGACTAAAAATGGAATGAAGAGAAGAGATTGACAGAGGAATTGTTGTGCTACAGGGGTTGGCGCATCAGAGATATGAAGATGAAGATAAGAAAAAGAAGAGATTACCTACCGGCTTGTAAGAAGGAGAGCGCATGAAAGGGAGAAGAGAGCGGGTCGCTGCGCGGAAGAGCAGATCCAGAGCAACATAGAGGAAAGGAGAAAAAAAAGAAGGAGAAAAGGTAAAAAAATACCTTAAATAGGGAGGCAGCAAAGGAGGCATGGGTGGGTGCACTGTAGCACGGTCCTATAAAATATTACTCCGTAGTATAACAAAAAAAAATTAGACTGATATTTTGTATTATCTTAAAACATACCTATAAAGTAAAAAGTGGAGTATAATTTTTAAAGTACAAATAGCATAATTCTTGAGATATTATACTATTTAGTCTTTACTTTTACCATTTACAAATTAGCAAATTCTTTTGTGCATACGAGATTGATACCTATTTGATGGACCTTAGTGTATTTATAACATAAAAGAAGTAAATCTTTTTGCAAAATATAAATATCCAAATGAAAGCTTATAAAAAATATAAAAATGCTCGTGTTTTAAATGTTCGTAGATCTTAGGACCATGTCAGCATTACTCTTACCTATTACAATCCATGCTTAGGTAAACTGACACCATATTTGTCACCCTCCACTTCTTAGAGTGGATCTTAGAATAAATTTTAAAAAAATTGGAAAAAATTGAAAAGAATTAAAAACAAGATAACTTTAGCTATTAATTACTTTCAAATTGTATTATTGCATATTAGTATAATAAATAAAAATTCTAAAGTATTCCAAAAAGATAAATTTAAAGAAGACAATTTTATGCTACTACAACATGAATTAGAGAGTATAACTCTTACTACGTATTTAGTATATGCATGTTTGGAAATAGTTTTAGAGGTTAACATTAACATTTTAAAAAATACAATCTACAGACAGCATTTGGCGTTAATAAAGTTAATCTACACTGTTAAAATTTTATTGAAATATCTAAAATGTTAACGCTAATTGAAAACGTTATTCTCAAATAGACTATAGATGTCTAAAATTCATTTAGTTTGATGTGAAAAAATCAAATTGAACAAACATTTTATACTTGGCACTAGTTTGTGTTGGTGATTTTAGTGTCATCGGTTTATTTTGTGTAATTAGATTTTACTTAGATTGGACAAGAATTTAAATAGACGTTGTCAAACGAGTTATGAGGCGCGGAGTGCGTGCTCGCTCAACGATATTACAAATTCACTGCAGGGGTCCGGGGGCGGCAGCCCCGGGTAGCGGGGTCCAAGGGGCGGCAGCCCCTGGCGGGGTCCAAGGGGCAGAGCCCTAGCGGGGAAATTTTTTATTTTGGACGTTATTTCTTTATGAAAATCTTTAAGATTTTCGTGTTAAGAGTCCAAAACAGTAAACGACTCGAACTAGTGGATAAACGTTGAAATGCACCCCAAAACCGTAGGAGACTCCTCATTCAAACTCGCGCCTTTCTTCTTCTAAAATAACAAATAATGCTTTATTTCTTGAATAAATAGAAGAGGAATACAAAGTATGTATTTGTAGGTGGAAGAATATATTCTAGAATCCTCCATATTAATGACTAATTATATAAGGTAATATTATATAATAATAACACTAACTATAATAGGTAACAACCATAATTATAATATATAATATTAAATATATTAAATAATTGATATATTTAACATGCTCCCAACGTCCTGAACGGTGAAGATTGAACGCCAACTATACTTGAATCGTGACCAGAATTGTAATCAGAAGCTAGAGGCATATCTTCGGCTAGAGTAGACTGAATGCATCCGGCCTAGAAGAGAAGAAGAAAGATTGCTAGGAAAGAGATGCGAAGGCGCTGATGAAGATAGGAGAAAAGCCGCTGCGAACAGACTCGTGCTGCTGACGTCGAAAGAGGGAGAAGGTTGACGTGCACCTGGAGTCGTGCGCGACTGTGTTAGAGAAGAAAAACAAGGAATGAGGTACTGCCGGAGATGCATGTTGACCGACGATCTACCCACGAAGCAGGTTGAGGTGATGATCTGAGTTGTGAGAGATCGAAAAAAATAGGGATTGAAGGGTGATTGGAGGAGAATGACTTCTGACTCATGTTACTCTCGAGTGAACAGGTGCGATCTTGGCGCCAGGAGAGGCCGGTAGTTTGGTGGAGTAGGGGACGTTGGTCAGAGTTGCGGCGATTAGGAGAAGAGGATGACGTTAGAGATGCCGGTGACTATAATAGAGATTTTTTTTGTATAATGGAAGAATTTGGATCAGAGGAAAACAGTGATCCGGCGGGCGGCGGTGCCGCCCGCTAGAAGCGAAAGCGGAGAAATTTAGGTCACCAAGAACGGTGGCTCTGATACCATCTAAAATAACAAATAAAGCTTTATTTCTTGAATAAATATAAGAGGAATACAAAGTATGTATTTATAGGTGGAAGAATATATTCTAGAATCCTCCATATTAATGACTAATTATATAAGGTAATATTATATAATAATAACTCTAACTATAATCGGTAACAACCATAATTATAATATATAATATTAAATATATTATATACTCCGTAATTGATATATTTAACATGCTCCAAACGTCCTGAACGGTGAAGGTTGAACGCCAACTTTACTTGAGTCGTGATCAGAATTGTAATCAGAAGCTAGAGGCATATCTTCGGCTAGAGTAGACTGAATGCATCCGGCCTAGAAGGGAAGAAGAAAGATTACCAGGAAAGAGATGTGAAGGCGCTGATGAAGAGAGGAGAAAAGCCGCTGCGAACAGACTCATGTTGCTAACGTCGAAAGAGGGAGAAGGTTGACGCGCGCTGGAGTCGTGCGCGACTGGGTTAGAGAAGGAACACAAGGAATGAGGTACTGCCGGAGATGCATGTTGACCAAAGATCTACCCACTAATTGTGCCTCATGTTACTCTCGAGTGAACAGGTTCCAGGAGATGCATGCTGACCAAAGATCTTGGCGCCAGGAGAGGCCAGTAGTTTGGTGGAGTAGGAATTGATTTAGACCTCTACTTTTTTTTTAAAGTCGTTGGACAACAAAAAAACTAGAAAACTTTGTAGTTTCAGGAGATGGTGAAGAATTTGGGTCAGAGGAAAACAGTGATCCGGCGGGCGGCGGTTAATGGCGGTGCCACCCGCCAGAAGCGAAAGCGGAGAAATTTAGGTCACCAAGAACGGTGGCTCCGATACCATGAAAAATAATAAAGAACGTTTTATTTCTTGAATAAATAGAAGAGGAATACAAAGTATGTATTTATAGGTGGAAGAATATATTCTAGAATCCTCCATATTAATGACTAATTATATAAGATAATATTATATAATAATAACACTAACTATAATAGGTAACAACCATAATTATAATATATAATATTAAATATATTAAATAATTGATATATTTAACACTTCTTCTCTGTGTCCGCTAGTTCCAGATCTGAAAGCGTAGGACACAATGAGTTCCAGATCTGAAAGCGTTTCGTACGTGATTCGTTATACTATCAAGTTCTTCGTGCTTCGTAGTGTTCTTAAATCCAACAGTTTGTAACATAGCTTAATGAGGTAAAGTCCAATTTTAGGGATGGGATAGAATTTCAGTTCTTCCTTTAATGGCGTTTGCGTGTTTATCCTTCTTCCCCAATTCTTCACATGTTTCTCAATTTTATACCATTCACAAACTCTTACGGATTATTTTGTGACTTTTAAAATTATTTTATTTTTAAATTGATAAATTAATATTTGAGAGAATAAAAAAAGAAATGTGAAATGTGAAATTCTTTGTAGCAAAGTAAAAACACATAATAACTGCTGCTCTAAAACAGTGTTCTATGTACAAAATAGTCGTGAAGAAAAACAGAATATGACATGTCAAACAAAGTAAAACCACTTTCACTTAAAACAGAAGCTAAATTTTTAAAAACAGTGTACTGCCAAACGCCCTCTAACATATAATATTAGGTCAAAATAAGATTTCAATGTAGTCTTAGACTATCATTTTACAAATAGTCAAATCGATAAATATTTTGAGATAAATAATTGAAGGAAAGAGATTAGGGAGTATAAGAGTTGTGCATTTTGTAAGTGCATCTCATTTCTTTTTTAAATTGGGGAATTTTATATTTCCTCCGTTTTTAAAAGATTGTCACAGTTTGACCACGAATTAAATACCGTTTAAAATAATTAAATATTATAAAAATTTAATATTTTAAAACTATGTTCTAAAATAAATTTAATTTTACTAAATTTATATTATAACTAAATATATTTTTTCTTTATAATTCATAATTAAAAAGTATGATGTTCTTTTGGTCCACACTCCACGTCCTAAATGATGTTCCACATAATTGGAGTTTAGGTGTGACACTTTAAAAGTGATCATTTATGTCTTAGCTAAAGTGTGTTAAAGCAAATTGATTAGGACGCATCAACTTGGGCAAAATTAAATGGGCAGTGATTAATCCAAAAAAATCACTTCTCCATCCAAACTTTTTTTTAAAATGGTATGGACTCTATACAAGGTCCATAGTTCATACTATTCTCAAGCTAATGACGTACAAAGAGCCAATGCTGCTGCCTTCGCTGGGGTTCGAACCTGGGTGAACTTCCACATGAATCCTGGGAAATGGGCTTGCTACCACTCAATTAAATCTTACGGATATTAAAATAAGCAAAATGATGAATAAATAATTTCTTTTTAGCAGCTATGTGTTTATTACTTACAAAAGAAATAAATATTTTTTTTCTGAAACATAAAAAAAGAGAACAAGAATTTTTTCACAACGAGTGGAATTGTTATCATGTGAAATCTCGATGTGTTTTTTAGAGACGACATTGTTGAAATGATTGAGTAAGAATGATAACATTTTTTTTACAACAAGAATGATAATATTTTTATAAAATAGAGTGATTGGTTTCTTGCTCATCCATCTCAAGAGAATGCTTCACAAAAACCTGCCAAGTGTATAAGAAATCATCTTAAATATGAGGAAAACATAGAAAAAATACCAAAGGAAGAGTTCTATGTTTCTATTCTTAAAATAGAAGTTTGTATTGTGGTAATATGACACTGCGTATGGACATTTGACAATACTATTTGGTAATGTAGATGGTCTTAATTGACACTGTGAATAAATTTTAACTCATATTTTGAGAATAAAAACATGAAATTACACTTTTAGTATATTTTCAATATTTTACTTCTACTTTAGTCCTTTTTTCCCATGTGCATTGAGGTGTGGTCTCAAAATATCATTTTCTGTTATCATTTTGAATAACTTTTTAACACTACATATTAACTTTGAAACATTAAAACTTATCATATCATTGTTTTTAATTAGATAGTTTTTCATAATGTTAACGTTAAGTGTTGAATCTGTTTCCAAATAGACCTGAAATCATTTTATTTAAATATTGGTATAATATTAAGATTAAAAGTTATATACAGAATATTAAAAAATCTCCACGGTTCCATTGCCACTGGGAGACCACCCACTGGCGGTGTCACTATCTCTTTAGAGTATCTATGCTGCTCCTTTTGTAAAATTGATAGTTCATACCCGCTAAATCTCTATCCCTGCCCTACCCTTGTCCCCACCCTAATATCACTCTGGCTCCTCTCGAAATGTGTAGTTATTAGGTAATTGCTTAACCACCACACTTTTGGAAAGAACGGGGTGAGGTTGGGACGGAGGGATAGTGGTTGGGCTGGGGTAGAGGTTTAAGGGCCTTCAGGGCTGGACCTGAGGGAGGTCGGGGCAGGTGATGGCCCTGAGCCTCTTAAATTTTAGAGGCCCCAAATATTTTATTCGTAGTCTTATGAGTAGCTTAGAAATAAATTCTAAAGTCCAAAAAATATTACTCATACTTTTTCATATTTGAAAATAAAAACTATTATACAAGATTATTACTAATTAATACTCCCTCCGTCCCAAAAAGAATGAGACGGTTTGACTCTTTGGGAGATTAAGGGAGGGATATTTTGGTATTGACTTTCCAAAAATACCCTTGATGTGATGGGTAAAAGTAGGATGTGATGGGTAGATTATTAGGAAAAAGGTATGATGTGATAGGTAGGGTATGAAAAAGTAAGGGGTAAACGTGGTTTTTTAATAGAAATGTAACGAACTTTACGGGACACAATTTTTTCTAAACGTAACAAACTTTTTGGGACGGAGGAGTATTATATTCACACATTTTAATTTTAAGTTACTGACACAATTCTCAACTAGTGTCAGTTATAATACTTTAATTTTTTATTTATATGTTTTCTTTATATACAAAACCTTTATTGTTATATTTATTTGATTTTAATTTTATACAAAAAGGTATTTTAACTTTTAATCAGCAAATCTGGGTAAAGATTCATTTTTTCATATTGTGCCCAAGAAATTTTAGAAATCGGCTTGTTTAAGGTGGGTGGTCACAAAGCTAAGAAAGATTAATTACTTTTGTGAACGAAACACCATAGGCACTCCAAAAAGGCCACAGTTGCCCAGTGGAAAAAGAACCGACTTGTTTAGAAGTTACGGAGTATATTAAAAGATACTCCCTCCGTCCCAAAAAGAATTTCTTACTTTAATTAATGTGCAAAACCTCATGATTTTTAAAATCATTTTATTTGCAAATTGGTAAAGAAATAACACATAAAAAATTATAATTAAAAACTATATTGAAAACTCTACAAAATAAGAGGTGACAAGAATATTTTATTTTATCAAATGATAAATGAAAACACACAAACAAATAAGAGTTATCAAGAGGCCGTAATAGTAAACATGAAAGATTTTTTGGGACGGAGAGAATATATAAAACAAGATGTGACTTTATTAATTCAAAAATTTGTCACTCATAAACATTTGTCACTCACTTTATTATAGAGTTTGGAGATTGAAATCTGAACACTGATTAACTAAAACAAAAAGTTTTAAAATTGTATCCAAAAATAATCTTCCAATATTAAAACAAGCCTTTTTTAACTTTTTTTTTAAAATGTTTAAACAAGCCTATTGATGTTGAGTTAAGCAGCTTTCAAGTTTCAATTGGAGAGTTTGAGCAAATTTTGAAATGGTGGACATCATTATTGATTAGCAACCCAAAGTTTGGTGACTTGTTACAACATTATGTGCAGTTACTCGTCCTGCAATTAGCAAACTGACATTTTCAAAGGACCACTTCATTAACTCCTAATGTCTCGCTCTCTCCAATTATCCACTTTTAACCCACATCAATTAAGAGGTGTTTGATAGTGCCGTGCTTTACAGAGTTTAACTTTCGCTTTAGAGCACTGGGTATACATGTAACGCCGACCGGCGTTAGGGACGTTTTAACACCCCGGGGGCGTTAAACACCGCCCACCGGCGGCGTTACCCGGGCGTGAGACGGCCTGCGTCAAAGGAATGACGCTTCGTCATTCTCTTCCCCTCCCCCCTCTAACGGCTATAATAGCCGTTGGACCAAAAAAAAATTCCTTATAAATTAAAACTCCCTCTCCCAATCTCTCACATTTTCCTTCTTCACTACTCTTCAATCTTCTTCTTCCCATAACTTCGAAATCACCCTCTCTCTTTTCAACATGAATCCTTCTGGCTTCGGCTTCTTTCCCGACGATCTCCCGCCGAGCGACGCCGCAATGTGGTTTTACCAAGAGTGGGGCGATCGACCGCCGATCTACGAGACGCAACAATCGGGGTACGTCGAGCGAGATTCGGTTCCGGAGACTCAACCGGAACCGACCAGGTCGAAAAAAATACACGCCGGAAAGGCCACAAAGCCAAAGCCACGATGATCAAGGCGGCACGGTCAATCCAAAAGTGGACGCCGGAGGAGGAGTGCTTATTGGCGTCGGCTTGGGTTGACGTCTCTGAGCATCCTATCATTGGTAAAAAATTTATTTTTTCTAATATATTTATGTTTTTATTTATATATATTATATTTAATCGTGTCTAAAAAAATTGTGTTATACTTTTTTAAAGGTTCAGAGCAAACGAAGGATGCGATGTGGGATCGTATCGAGGAGAAGTTCTTCACGGTGATGAACAAGGACGGCTCCTACCCAACCCGGGACCAACTCACTTCTAAATGGAGCCACATCAACCGTAAAGTCTGAAAGTTTATCGCAGTTTACAAGGAATGCTCCCAGTCCCAGAGGAGCGGGACGAACGACGCCGATGTTCTTCGGCTTGCCACATCCCGGTATCAAGACGACGGGCACCAAGGCAAGGTACCGATCGATCTTTGGAGGATTTTGAGCCGTTCCCCGAAGTGGCAACAACTCAACAATCCCAACGGCGGATCGTTCCGGAAAAGATCCTCTATCGACGCCGAGGTTGAGGTCGACGAGACTATCGGTTCGACCGATCAAATCCCTCCCTTCAACGTTGCGGATTCCGATGACGAGGACCCCATTCCACGGCCGATCGGAAGAAAGAAGGCAAAATCCATTGCCTCGGGTTCGGGAGGGTCCGGCTCTGATTCCGTTTCTTCTCGCGACGAAATCGGCCGGGAAATGGTTGAACAAATTCGGGCGTTCAATCTCCGAGAACAAGAGAGGTTGAAGCTAAAGGAGAAGGAGTTGAAACTAAAGGAATAGGAGGCCAAGATAAAAGTCATGGAAACCGACCTTTCTACGTTGTCGGAGATTGGACGAATGCTCTACGAGCCAAGAATAAAAGAGATCAAGGAGAAATATAATTTTCCTTAGTTCTTTTTATTAATGTATCTTTTTTTTATTATTGTCGCTTTTTTAATTAATGAATGTATTTTTTATTATTCGTGTTTCAATATAATTAAATAATAAATTAATTACATTTTATTAATTTAATTTTAGAAGATGTATATTTAAAAATGTAAAAAAATGAAGGTTTGAAGCCCCAATTTGAAGCTCCGGGGCTTCAAACCCATTTCCAGTGATTTTTGGGTGTAAGTTAAAGCTGACGTGGCAGAAAGAGAAAGTTTGAAGCCCCAGTTTGAAGCCTCGGGGCTTCAAGCGTATTTCCAGTGCCCTTAGTGTTAATAAGAGGGTGTTCTATTTTTCTTCATCATCATTTTATACATAACGCGCCATTTCGTAGAAGCAGGTATATGGTGCTCCTACTCTCAACTTTTTTGAATTAATTTACTCACAAGTTAATCACTTTCAAACACTGTCTAACATCTACTTTACACAATTTCTTTATCACTATTGATACATTTTCTCAATTAGAATAATTAATTAATAGTCGTTTTCGTGAATTTCACAATAATAATATATTCTTCTTGTCATACATGATTCCAAAATCGCTCCTGATGCATCGTTTGTGAATTATAATTGCTTTCTACTACAATCATAATCTACAAATGTGACCTTTCATCAGAATCATATCTCATACTCAATGTCATTATTTTGGTGTTATTCGTTTAATCAATATCAGAATACGTTACTGAATATAAGATTGATGTCAAATTATTCTTTTAATTTTTAAATTAACACTAACATGACAAAAATTAAAAAAGATTATTTGTGGCAAGGTGTCCATAAAAGAAAAACTACGAAAGTAATACTACGTATTTGATAATATATGAGTAAATGCAAAAACCCTCTACTTAAAAGGATTAATTATAGAATTTAATCGAAATTAATTTTAAACTTGAATTGGAAGAATAAAATTTTATTTGACAAAAATGTAAGCGAACCAAAAAATAACCGGACCCGAGCCCATATCAAACGGCCCCATTGCCAGGTGTAACCGCAAGCATCTCTCACGGCAGAAAGGGGGAGGTTTGGCCCACCACCCCCACGGCGGAGTGGATCACACGCTGTAGCGGACGTATCTTCGGCTCCGCTGTCCCTGTTCGGCTGTTCCCTCCATTACATATACCCCGCCAATCCCTACTCATCACCCGCTAACCGTTTCATCGCCTCCGAGGAGGAGCTGAGTACTTATTGCCTGCCGGAGTTGGATTTGGACTGGGATGGATCCGCAAGCTGGGACGATGAGTAACGGAGGAGGAGGAGGAAGGGAGTTCCACGCTGCTCCTAGTGCGCCGTACAGTCTGGCTGAGATCTGGCCGTTCGCGATCAATGCCGCCGCAGCGATGCCGTCGAGTTTGAGTCGAGAGAACTTCGCGCCGATGAGTGGTCCGGTGTTTTTCGATGGTATAGTAGGGAATCAGAACTGCAGCAGAGCCAGGAAGCGGCCTGAGGATGACGAATCTGCCAAGGGAGTTTCGACCAGCGGCAATGGCTTGGTAGTCTTTATGTATTAATCTACTTGCTCTGAAATACAGGCTTTGTTTGGTAATAGCGTTTTCCATTAGCGTTAGCATTTTGGATAAAATTTTAACGGTGCATATTAATTCTGAAAACACTAACTCTAAAGGCTATCGTCGGATAACTTTTTCAAAACTCTAAAGGTAATCTCTAAGGCTGATTATTAGTAGAAATTTTCCTATCATGAAGAGAAAGAATGTTTTGAACTTCTTTTTACTGATTATGGCAAAGAAAGAGGATAAAAGTTCCTTTTAAGGGAGTATTGATTTCTGGAAATTTGATTGCAGATTGAGAGCAATAGCAAGCGAATGAAGACTGTAGGGTCAAATTGCAAACCAGAATCTAAAGCTAATGGAGAAGAGTCTTCTGGGAAGCCAACAGAACAACCTGCAAAGCCCTCTGAACCACCCAAGGATTACATTCATGTTCGAGCACGGAGGGGTCAAGCCACTGATAGTCACAGCTTGGCAGAAAGGGTAACTTTGATTCTATATTTTTGTGTAGTTGCGAGTGTGAATTGAAAGGTTTTCATGTTAAGATTGACTCTCTAATCCCATTTCTGCAATTCTTGGGGATAATGGAGTGTGTTTCTGTTAAGATTTTGCACCTTTCTTTTTCAATTTCCTGATGGGATTCTTTTGGTGCACAGGCCAGGAGAGAAAAGATCAGCGAAAGAATGAAAATTCTCCAAGATATAGTCCCTGGTTGCAACAGGGTGCAGTATTTGCAACTTTGTCTTTATCTCTTTGCATTTCAGGATCATAATGAGACTGCAGTATATTTCTTGTGTGCTGATTCATGACCTAAATTTCAATCATATCAATTACTAAAAGATTCCTTATGACTTATGAGTGTCACACTTCAACATAAACCTGACATGTGACAAAGGTTGAGTTGATGCTTTTCTAATATAAGCCTTGTTTTGTAACAACGTTTTCAATTAGCGTTAGCGTTTTGAATAATTTTCTAACAGTACATTTCAACTCCGTAAATGCTAAAGCTAAATGTTGAAGCCGCTGCATAAACACATAAACACCCATTACACGACCTGGTTACCCACAAATTGAGTGATGAACAGAAAGTAGCATAGTATCTGTGAAAAATGAAAATCTATGATAGATGGCATATTTGGTGTCTTTTTATGCAACCCGTGGTAGTAATACTTCAAAATCCTACCACATTGAAAATATTCATTCTTATTTGAGGTTTACTTTTCAGGTTATTGGTAAAGCACTGGTCCTTGATGAGATAATAAATTATATTCAATCTCTACAACGTCAAGTCGAGGTATGCTTAAGATTAATGTCTAGGTCTTTTCCCTTATTTATTCAAACACTTTCCTTTTTTCATCTGTTAAATTTTTTTGTTTTATAGTTTTTGTCAATGAAGCTTGAAGCAGTTAATTCAAGAATAAGCCCTGGGATTGAAGGGTTTCCATCAAAAGATGTAAGTATTCTATACATAAGCATTTTAATCAAAAGATGTGAAGAGCATTTGTGATGACTAATTTTTTTTAGAATAAGTGTTTTATAGAGGAGAACAATGCCCTTCTATCTCATAAAGAAGCATTTGGCTGGAAATCAGAAATATTACTTGCTAAAAAACAATTTGGAACTACTTCATCAATTCCAAAATGAGTAAATTTTATGGTTTGAATTCACAGAATTTAAGACATATGATGTAAAGTAAAATGTGTGTAGTTGAAGTTTGTGTAGAAGAAAGAAAAAACTTGTGAGTTGCATGTTTCATTCCTCTATAAGAAAAAAGAGAAATTTGAAGTTTATTAAAGACGGAAAAAGGTAAGTGTGAAGTTAATTGGTCCATGTTTTTTCTTCAGAAAAGCACTTCAATACCCTGTTTGGCAAGTGTTATTTGGTTGAGTTTTTAATGAGTTTCTTCAAGGCAAAAAAGCATTTGGTAAAATCCATATAAGCCGAGTAAGTCAAACCCAAATTTGGATACTAAAATGACCTTCAAGTGCCTGAATGAAAAAGCATGTACGATAAAAAAAAGGACACAGATCATCCCAAACACGCCCTAATACTTTGGTGAATGCTCTTGCCTTCATTTCAGAGAGATTCAAGTGCAACTATCATCAAATGCATGCAAACTTTTCTTCAAACTTTACAAAGTGAAACCATTTCTCGACCTTTTTTTTGTACAGTTTCCTGCACAGACATTTGATGCAGCATCTACCATAGCATTCGGTTCACAAGTTACCCAAGACTATCCCCGGGGAACTTCACCAGATTGGCTGCACATGCAAATTGGGGGTGGATTTGAAAGAACCACATGAGTAAACAAACATCCATATGTGAAGCTCAGGTAAGATACACAATTGAGGATCAAATGATTTTTCTCACAAGGAGTGGAATCTAGTTCTATTGGTTCACAGATAGGGGATTGTTGTAGTTTGATGTGTTATATATATATATATATATATATATATATATATATATATATATGTATATATATATATATATATATATATATATGTATATATATATATATATATATACATACATACATTGTAACTGACTGCACAAAAATTCATGAAATGAAAAAATTGTTTAGTTGGACATGGTTGTTCTGTACTTGCTGGGCTTTTTGTCCATTTTTGGTTTGGTCAAGTGAACCCGCGGAGTGTTGAGGTCACGATACGGAGATGTGTGAGTTGTTTATGGTGGTGGACTGGTGGGCGAGAATTAGGGAAGAAGTTGTAGGGACCGCGTGCACCCTCCAATCTCCTATTAGTATAATACTGTCCATTTTGAACCAAGTTTTCACAAATTTGTTTTGAACACTTCTCAAAATGCCTCAGCAATAATGGATTAGGATGGACCTATTTATTTTAGTTCATTTCCTCGTATTGTTGCTGTGGGTGTGATTGGGTTGTATCCTAACATGGGTTGACAAAATAAAAATTGGAACGAGATGATTAGACATGACACACAAATTTTTGCCTCGAGGGGGCGATTTTGATGGTAGTTTTTGAGGTATATATAAATAATCTAACATTTTGCACCTTTAAAAGGTGACAAATAATCAAAATGTACCCCTAATTATCATAAAAGTCAAAATGCACCCTCAAAAGCTTAATGCTCATTTATCTTTTTTTATACTTAAAAATAAATAAATTCCTCAAAATATTTTTTTTGAAATCTACTTTAGAGACGAAATTCTATTGGATTTGTTTATAAGCACTCACATGTGCTTAAACAAATTGGACAAGAATATTAGGGAGTACTCCATATGTTTTAGATAAAGAAATCAAGCAACAAACAATGGAGGTTTTGTACGTAGATCTTACTCATATTAAAAAATAGAGAGACTGTTTCAAAAGAGATTTCTGACTCAAGAAAGAAATCAAGCATAGAGTGTGAGTAGAAAAGTTATTGTTTAGGAGTGTTTCAATTCTTTTTATAATTTCTGGGCTTTTTATATTGGTCTTTTTTCAGGTTGCGTTTTCCTCCATTAACTTTGGTTTGCTTTTATCCTATTTTTCATGCAGTGTGTTTTCTGTGATCATTTTGTGTTTTTTCGAATTGAAAATCTTGTAGTAATAATCTCTCTACCTTTCAATGAGAAGTTTTATGGTGAGCCTATGGTTCACATGAACCTTCTCATACAAATCTTTTTATTTTTTAGTTTTTTCATAAATACCTATCTAGTATATATGAAAGTCCACCATAGTACTATGAACTTTTAGTCAATGCAAGAATTTACTCTTTTTAACCGCGGTAAGATTTGCATTCACTCACATTTCAAACCATATTTTGGTGAGATCCAAAGTGTTTGTTGTTGATAAATGCAGAAAGTGTGGAGTATCATACATTTATACACTTTGTATTACACAGTTATATTTTAAAAAAATTGAAAAATATATTACTCATAATATAGTACTCCCTCCGTCCTATAATGATCTTCCTAGAGTACTATTCCAACTTCACGGAAATTTATATTTATTTGTGCTTTTCATGGCCTATATGATAAAATAAAATATTCTTGTCACCACTTGTTTTGTTGAACTTTTGATGTAGTTTTTAAATATGTATGTTTTATTTTTTATTTCTTTACCAATATATAAATAAAATAGATTGAAAAAACTTGAGATTTTTCTTCGTTTTGCGAACCGGGAAGATCATTATAGGACGGAGGGAGTATTCCATATTTGTGAGTGGAAAGAAGTCCCAAGAAACAAATCTGTAAATAAATAATACTCCCTTTGTCCCAATTCCCAAATTAAATTGCTCATTTACTATTCATATGATAAAAATTCATCTTCTTTCTTTCTATATTTTTGTAGGTCAATTGATAAAATAATACAGTTATGTCACCACTAGTTTTGTCGATCTTTTAATCTAGTTTTTAAATATGTAATTTTTATTTTTTAATTTTACACTATTTTTCATATAAAATGATTTGGAAATAATTTCAGTCAAACATCATAAACTAAAACATGCGATTTAAGTTGGAACAAAAGGAGTAAGAAATTCTCAGAAAAATATACTGGTGATTAGAAAAAGAACAAAGATTTTATTTATTTCTCCATACTCTATAAAAAAATTATGACTCTTCGAGTTATTTTAAAGAGTTCAATGACATCATTCAATTGAGCGGTATTTTTGAACATTTTAAAGAGTTCTTATCCGTCTCAAATTAAGCTGTATATTTACTATTAACATGATCAATTTTTATTTACTTTTTTTCAAATTCCATAACTCATTTGATAAAATAATATAGTCATAACACATTTTGTTTTATAGAACTTTTAATTTAGGTTTTTTAATATGTAAATTTTATTACTTTATGTTTCACCAATTGTTAAGTGAATTGTATGAGGAATGCTAGGGGTACACCAAATATTATACACTATTTGTACAGGATGCGTCTTTATCTTGAATTTTTTTAGATTTAATTTTTTTCTCTATTGCTTTTGTATGGTGCGGATGGGAGCGAGGTACATATGAAATACACTATTTAATGTGAGGCCGGTTCCAGAGCCACTGGAATTCAGTGGCTACGGAAGCCACTGCCCCCCTACGAAGCTCCGTTCATGAAATTGATGATTTATACCCTCTAACCTCCCGGTAAACCCCTGCCAAGTCTCGACCCAAACTACTCCCCCACCTACGTCAATTGCACCTCGCAAGTATAATTGACTTTAAAGTCAAAATTCTTGACTTTATACTTACGAGGTGCAATTGACGTAGGTGGGGGATTAGTGTACTCCTAACATTTTTTAAATTTTATAAAAGAAAGTATTTCATATGTACTACCATTTTTGAAATTGTACACCATATGGTGTATTTGATATGTACCATTTCAATTTCAAATTTAAATTGAAGAGAAGTGAATAAGGAGTGATATTGACTTCCATTAACTTTCCCCAAATTGTTTGCCCTAATTCAAATCAATGGCGGAGAATGAAATCTAAGTGGAGCTCTGTGAGCATCTCAGTGGCGGAGAATGAAACATAAGAGAAGTTTCCTTTCTTCTGCATTCTCCTTGTGCAAAATTACTGGTCGGAGAAGAAGATCTGTGTCGTCGCCTACTATTATCGCCGGCAAAGAGGGATTATTAAAGAGGCATTGTCAGTCTATATAGTAAGTTACGTTCTAACATGAATGATTCTCATGTTTTTGGTAATATGTTATTTGTGTTTTGAGGCTGTCATTTGTGACTATGAATTGAGAAAAACATATGCAGGAAACAACTTATTAACAAAATGTGGCTTCTTGCTGGAATCACATACTCTTAGGGGCTGTTTGGCAACTTCTGAATCGGTAAGTGCTGAACTAGTAAGAGGTCTGAACCATTAAGTGCTGAACGGTCTGAACCATTAAGAGCTAGTATATTGCTTAACTATTCAGAGGCAAATGTCTGATCAATTCAGATAAGAGATCTTAATCATTCAGACTCTGTATAATACTTAACCATTCAGAGGCAAATCTCTTAACCATTCAGACATCTGAACCATTAAGAGGCTGAAACAAACAGTCTGAACCATTAAGTGCTGAGCCATTCAGACATCTGAACCATTAAGAGGCTGAATGAAACAAACAGCCCCTTAGAGTCACATATTCTTTCCCTGAATAAGAAAAGAAGTGTAAAAATATTCTTTTTTGGTTATAATGTAAACCATCAATCATTTACAAAGTAATACAACCTGATTTGATGATTAGATCACATTTAGGCTTTGTTTGGTAACAGCGTTTTCGATTAGCGTTTTGGATAAAATTTTAACGGTGCAGATTAATTCTGAAAACGCCAATGCTAAAGGCTACCGTCGGATAGCTTTTTCAAAACGCTAACGCTAATCTCTGACGCTGATGCCAAACGAGGCCTTAGTTGCTGGACAAGAGACATCATCAAGTTTATAGTAAGAGGCTGCAAGTGGTTGTGATTAGTTCAAAGCATTTGGGAGAAAATACTTAAATATATTGTTTCTCTCGCTTGGTTGCAAAAACTTTAGCACAACTCCAAGTATGAACATGGAGAGAGAACAATTAATAAATCTCTTGTTGATCCCATTTTTATTTTCACTCAAAATTTGACCCCAAAAATCGATTTTTAAAATTTGTGAGCACGAAAGTGACAGAACCCAAAATGTCAATTAGGGATGTATTACTCAATATACAATTGAATGAGTCGGAATTATGTAAAGAAGGGAAAAATTACAAATTATATATTCATTTTTTGTAAAAGAAAAACTAAATCTCTTTTTGGACAAACATATAAGAAAATTGCAAAGGAATGACAGAAAGGAATATTTGGCATCATGAGCGACATGTTCTATACCGAGTATTTGAGTTTATTCTACCGATATCTCACTTGTGGTTTGGTAAATATGAGTTTTCATTTTCTCTGTTTTTAAATGAGATGGGGATGATGTTTTTCTCTATCTTCTATTTTTGATGTCAGACCCATTTAATGAGCTAAATCGTACCATGTCAGACCCCTCTAAACTCGTTTAATATGAAAAACCAAAACACGATTCTTCCCTTTCAATTGATTCACGGTGTTTAAGTGAAGCCTAGAGATCATTTTTTATGAGATTTTATTCTGAAAACGGACTAATTTGGAAAACAATTCAATTAGAAATGATGGTTTTGGAAAATAAGTATAAGTTTTAACGTCGTTCTAACTCTATTTTGATGGCGGTTAGACGATGGACAAAATTGGGCATTATTTTTCAATTAATGAGTGTTATCTCGTTAATTGATTCAGCTTAGAGACTAATTTAAAAAAATACATAATTATTTAGTACCATTTTACTGCATTACTTGGCAAGACCATCAATGTAAAATTCCATATCCATATACTGCATTACTTGGCAATTTACTTGCGGAGCACAAATTTGGAAATGATGTAATTAGTAAACGATTTTAATAGCTATCAAACTTACATTAAACTCTTTTCGGTCTTTAAAATCTTTTCTATTTTAACTTTTAAAATAAAAAAATAACACTTTTTGACATCAAATCATTAAAAAAATACGGAGTATTTAAATCTGAATGCAAGAGTAAATTATTCAAATCTGAATAACATGACTAAAGATTAAAATATATTTAAACTAATGATTATTTCAAATTACACCTTATATACAGATTAATTTATTCAAACCTGAATTTTAAATCCAAGGTTAAGTTATTTGTACAAAGAGTACAAACAATGTAAATATCTCAAAGCAATTTAGGCTATGTTCCGTATGTCTGATCTGATTGAATTTGATCTAAATTTTTGAAGTTCTGATTGGATTTTAAAACAACTCTTTTTAAAATGAAAAATACGACTTTTTAAGCTTTAACATTACTTCCATGCATTATTCCTAGAAGTTGAGCAATTATTAAAAATAGAAAAGGATTGCCAGGTCCCGTTATTTTTTAAAATGTACTCCAGGATACCTTAAAATAATAGAAACTTTACTACGGGGTGACATTTCGTCAGTTTCTCGGTTAAACTCCATTTTCCGTTAACTTTTCTTCTTCCCCCATTTTCGATCTTCTTCTTCTTCTTTCTTCTTGTTTCTTCTTCTTCTTCTCCTCGTTCTCCTCCTCCTCCACCTCCTTCGGATCTCATCCCCCCCCTCCACCCTCCCCTTTTCTCTTCTTCTATTTTTGTTTTATTTTAATTTTTTTTTCTTCTTATTCTATTATTATTATTTGTTATTAATTATTATTATTATTATTAAAATTAATTAGTATTTTTACCACTCTAATTTTTAAGAAAAATAGTGGAGTAGCACTTATTATTATAACTTCATATTTATTATTATTTTGTTCTTATTCTATTATTATTATTATTATTAATTACTCCATATTATTTTTATTTATAATTTTTAATAATATTATTAAAACTAATTATTATTCTATTATTTTCTTCTTATTCTATTATTATTATTATTATTTTGGAAATCATCATTTTGGAAAATAAATATGGAGTATAAATCTTAATGTTGTTCTGACTCCATTTTGATAATGCGAGAGAACTAAACTAAACATTATTTTCAATTAAGGAGTACATGATTAGTTTAGCTTAGTTACTATTTTGATAAAACACATAATTATAAAGCTATGAATTTGAGCACCAAAAGAAGCTCGACCCAAATTTTTTGCCCGTAAGAAATGGAACCAGGCTTTTCAATGTCGCCAACAAGAGGCTCGCGTTGAATTCCCTTCCTCCTGCAAATCATCATGAATATCTGAGAGCATCTCAGTGGCGGAAAATGGATTCTAAGAGAAGTGTCATTGCATTCTCCTTCTTCAACAAAATTGTTCGTCGGAGAAGAAGATCTGTGCCGTCTTCTGATCTCATATCCGTCAAAAAGGCAGCTGAAACTGGTACTTCTCCGTCCTTCTTCTTGTCCTCACTGCGTTCATTGCACACTCTCCCAGAAGTTGTTTCTTCTCCACATAGAAATCACGTTCATTCCGGATATGATTTCAATTCAGTTCGTGATTTAGACCAAGCCCATGAACTGTTCGATCAAATGCTTCGCGCACGACCATTGCCTTCTGTCGTTCAGTTCACGAAACTGCTCAGTAGAACTGTGAAAATGAAACATTATAGGGCTGCTGTTTGCATGTTTAGGGAAATGCGCATTCGGGGTATCACTCAAAACGCTTATACCCTGAACATTCTGATTGAAGCCTTCTGCCTCTCAAATCGAGTGAATTGTGGGTTTTGTGTGCTTGGGATGTTCTTCAAGTGTGGAATTGATTTCAATGTGGTGACATTCAGCTCCCTGATCAAAGGTCTTTGTCTCGATAATAAGATCGTTGAGGCCATAGAGCTATTCAAGAAGTTGGTTGGGGAGAAATTCTGCCAAGTTGATAATTTAACTTATGGTATACTTATGAAGGGGCTTTGCAAGGCAGGTTATACTCAAACTGCTCTTGATTTACTCATACTTATGCAAATGGAGGGGCCTCAGCCTGATAAGATAGCATATACCACTGTGATTGATTCTTTGTGCAAAGACGGAATGGTAGATAGGGCTCTTGGCCTTCTCCCTCAGATGTTAGAAAGAGGGGTTTCCCCGGACATCATCACATACAATTCGTTGATTCAAGGCCTTTGCAATTTTTGCCGTTGGAAAGAGGTTACGAAGTTAATGAACCAGATGGTGCATCATGAGGTATACCCAGATGTCTTTACCTTCACTATAATGGTAGATGCTTTTTGCAAGGAGGGGAAGTTGAAAGAAGCAGAAAGTGTTATTCAAATCATGATTCAAAGAAAAACTTATCCTGATGTGATCACATACAACACATTGATTGAGGGGTATTGTTTGCAAGGGCAGATGGATGATGCTCGCAGAGTTCTTGGACAGATGGTAGACAAAGGCCTTCGACCAAATCTTACGAACTATAACACGATAATTAATGGATATTGCAAAAGAAAAGCAATGGACAAGGCCATGCATCTTTTTCATGGAATGCATCAGAAAGGGCTACATCCTGATGTTGTTACTTACACCACACTATTGCAAGGGCTTTTTCTGGTAGGCCGATGTGATGATGCTTTAAATCTTTTTCAGGATATGCAATTGTCAGCACATGCGCCTAGTTTTCACACTTATTGCGTCTTACTTACCGGTTTTTGCGATAACGGACATATTGAAGAGGCAATGTCACTCTACAGTAAGTTGGGTAGTAATGGGAACGGCTCTCATGTTTTTGGTAGCATCATTATAGATGGGCTGTGCAAGACGGGACAACTCAATATTGCACGCGGTGTATTAAGTAACCTCATCTTTAAGGGTCAGCACATAAATGTTTATACATACAATGCAATGATAAATGGGCTCTGTCAAGAGGGGAAAACTGATGCAGCCCTAGACTTGTTCAGGAAAATGGGCGAGACAGATTGCTTACCGGATACTGTCACTTATACTATTATCTTGCAAGAATTAGTGAGAGTTCATAAATATCACGACGCAAATTTACTTTTGGATGAAATGGCGGGTAGGGGTGTATATCCTAATGGCCGCACATTGACCTTGATGAATGACTTACTTGCACATAGACCTGGAGACAGCAGATTACTGAAATTGGTGCAGAAGATTGCAACAAATGTTGTAATGTAACTGCAAAATCTAACCAACGAGCTTTTCCTTTTTATTTTCACTAATCTCTCATGAAAGGATTTCAAAAAAAATGCTCACAGATGCTGCCTTTGGGTATGGAAAGAGTGACAACAGAGGAGCCTTGGATCTGCTTGGACAACATCAAAAGTTCAGGCAGAAAAAGAGGAGCTTTAAAATGGTTAAGGAAAGAACAGAAAGTATGACTTTGCAGGCAAATGATATTTTGATGCTTGTAGATACATATGTATTTTCCCTCTGAGATTCTTTCCTCTATTTCAGTTTGGGTTTGTGGCTGTTGAGGGCAAACAATTTCCCACACCGGTGACTGATGAAGAATTAGATTAACATTTACTCCGTAGTTAACTGCCTATAAGCGTTATCTAAGTACATCCGTTTTTTTTAATTAAAAGGGATCAAATGTATTCGTAGTCGTTAAAAATGGATGATTTTGTTTTGGGTGTCTGTAATTTTTTTTTTGTTAGCTCATCTTTACAAAATGGTTCTTAAACATAATTTGCACTTCTAATTTGTTGAGATAGCATATTTATTTTATACTAAGAATCCTAGTTTTACATTTCTACTATCTCGACACAATTCTCATGTCCTAAAATCTTTCCTTATTTATATTATATCTCCAATTCCCAAATCTCAAATAATTTTAAAATTGCAGATGTAGTTCCATGAAGGACACGATCTATGCAACGAGATCTATGTCTGAGTTAATTAAAAATGCAAAATTATGATATTGAGTATGTAATACATATTTTATGTCAACAAATTGAAAGTGCTAACTACATTTAAAGACCAACTAATAATATTTTTATAATCAATTTGGATAATTAACTCGCGATATCTTTTATTCCATGCCCATTCAAGTCCAATTAGTGAGACTTTCCGGTGGTGACGATTTTAACCAACACTAACTGTCCCCAAAAGATATGTCAAATCGTTTGTGCACAATCTTTTACCCTACTATGACGTTGTACTATGGATATATTTGAATTGAGTTGTTTTATTGTGGTTTTAAGTTTTATTTGTTAAATGTATACGTTTTTATATATTTTCAATGGGCTCTTAGTGGATGCCTTTCTTTTTACAATGACGATACAACTCACTCTTTGTATTTACCTTCTCCGGACACTACTCTAGAAGGATCCAATTCGATTATTGTTTTTTTTGATGTTGTTGTATTAAAGTTAATAGAATGAATTCAAGCCTAAAGACCACAAAAGATTTTGTCATTTGAATTATAGCTTTTGTGATAAATTTTTTATTGTTTTAACTAATTTTACCGAATTTGATTGATCAAACAACCAAATAGAGTGTTTGGTAATTGACTGCCGGAGGGAGTTATGGGTGTTCATAAGGTCAAACTTGGACCAGACCGGCCCAACTCGGATCGGAACGAACAAGACTAAAGATTGAATAAGGAAAAAGTGAGGATTGAAGACCAGACCAGAATGGGACTGGTCAGAATGGGACTGGTCTGGTCCAATTTTGACCAAGTTTCGGGTCGTACTGTGTCTGGAGTGAATAATGCACACCCTTAAGTGGAGTTAGTCACACCCCTAAACATTGAAAGTTTTTACATTTTGTAACTTTTCTTAATTTGTCTGCCAAGTCAAAACGAGAAAGAAATTTTTGAACGGAGAGAATACCAATATTTGGTTCAAATCATTTTAAAACAGACAAAATTTTTCGGGTTGTTCAAAAGATGACAAATAATATTGTCTTTTTTTTAATTTTTTGTAGTCAAAATTTATAAACCATTAAAATTAATTAAATGAAATATATATTACATATTAATATAAGAAAAATTTCATTAGATTTAACTTGTAAAATATTTCGAAATTCTATTTTAACTAATTAATACTATTATATAACTTTTATTTAATTATAAGTCAAAAATTGTTACTCCCTCCGTCCTAAAACTTTCTTCCCGTTGCGCAAATTGAAGAAAAATTCCAAGTTTTTTCAATCTATTTTATTTAAATATTGGTATAGAAATAAAAAATAAAACATACATATTTTAAAACTACATCAAAAGTTCAACAAAACAAGTAGTGACAAGAATATTTTATTTTATCATATAGGCCATAAAAAACACAAATAAATATAAATTTCCGTGAAGTTGGAATAATGCTCTGGAAAGAAAATTTTAGGACGGAGGGAATATTAGAAACCACCAAAATTAGATAAATATATCTATCGTGGAATAGAAGAAGAATAGAATAGAAGAAGAATAGTGAACAACCTACCCCACGTTACGAGCTAAAATTGAATTTTAGGCCTAGTTTTCAAATAACAAAACTCTCATGTCTCTCGCAGCAAATCCCAGCTAAAATAACTTATTTTTTCAATTCCTCCATTTTAATGGAATGGAATTCGTTAGGAGAAACGTCTCGTTTTCTGCATTTTCCTTCGTCAATACCATCGCCATTGTTGGTTCCAGAAGAAGAATTACGAGCAGCAGCTCCACATCATGTACTCCGGCGGTGATTCCGGCCGAAATTGCACCGGCAGCGACGGGTACTTCTTACTCGTCCCTGCGTCCTTTTCAGTCTCACCCTGAAATTATTTCTTCTTCACATAGAAATCGCGTTCATTCCGGATACGATTTCAATTCAGTACATGATTTAGGCCAAGCCCATGAACTGTTCGATCAAATGCTTCGCGCGCAACCATTGCCTTATATTGTTCAGTTCAACAAATTGCTTGGTAGAGTTGTGAAAATGAAATGTTATAGGGCTGCTGTTTGCATGTTTAGCGAACTGCGCGTTTGGGGTATCCCTGTGGACGCTTATACCCTAACCATTCTCATTGATGCATTATGCCTCTCAAATAGGGTGGGTTTCGGGTTTTGTGTGCTTGGGTTGTTCTTCAAATCTGGAATTGATATCAATGTGGTGACTTTCACCAAACTGATCAAAGGTCTCTGTCTGGATAATAAGATTGTGGAGGCTCTAGAGCTATTCAAGAAGTTGGTTATGGAGGACGTTTGCCAAGTTAATATTTTCACTTATGCTGTACTAATGAAGGGGCTTTGCAAGGCAGGTTATACTCAAACTGCTCTTGATTTACTCATACTAATGCAAAAGGAGGGGCCTCAGCCTAACAACGTAGCATATAACATTGTGATTGATTCTTTGTGCAAAGACGGAATGGTTGATAAGGCTCTTGGCCTTGTCCCTCAGATGACAGAACGAGGGATTTCCCCGGGCATCGTCACATACAATTCATTGATAAAAGGTCTTTGCAATTTTTGCCGATGGAAAGAGGTTACCAAGTTAATGAATGAGATGGTGCACCATGAGGTATATCCAGATGTCGTTACCTTCACTGTAATGGTAGATGCTTTTTGCAAGGAGGGGAAGTTGAAAGATGCAGAAGCTATTATTCAAATCATGATTCAAAGAAACATTTGTCCTGATGTCATCACATACAACCCATTGATTGAGGGGTACTGTTTGCAAGGGAAAATGGATGATGCTCGCAGAGTTCTTGGACAGATGGTAGACAAAGGCCTTCGACCAAATCTTACAAACTATAACACGATAATTAATGGATATTGCAAAAGAAAAGCAATGGACGAGGCCATGCATCTTTTTCATGGAATGCATCAGAAAGGGCTACATCCTGATGTTGTTACTTACACCACAATGTTGCAAGGGCTTTTTCTGGTGGGCCGATGTGATGATGCTTTAAATCTCTTTCAGGATATGCAATTGTCTGCACATGCACCTGATTTTCACACTTATTGCGTCCTACTTACCGGTTTGTGCAATAACGGACATATTGAAGAGGCAATGTCACTCTACAGTAAGTTTCGTGGGAACGGGAATGGCTCTCACGTTTTTGGTAGCATCATTATAGATGGGCTGTGCAAGACGGGACAACTCAATATTGCACGCGGTGTATTAAGTAACCTCATCTTTAAGGGTCAGCACGTAAATGTTTATGCATACAATGCAATGATATATGGGCTCTGCCGAGAGGGATTAGTACATGAAGCCTTAGACCTTCTTAGGAGAATGGCGAAACTGATTGCTTACCAAATTCTTTCACTTACAATGTTATTTTGAAAGAATTTGTTAGAATGAAAAAAATGCACGAGGCAAATATGTTATTAGATGAAATGTCTAGCAAGTGCATTTCTCCAGACGTTTACACATTGACCTTGATGAAACAGGTAATGAAACAGTGCCGGAGGTGATCGGTAAATTCACAGCGAATGTTTTAATCTGACCATGTGTGTGGAGAATTTGGTCCTTGTTCTTCTGCTTAATAAATTCCTACTTCTAATGGATTACTTAATAATCCGCTCTTGAGTTACAACCGAAGAAGTGACGAATGTGTGAATGAATTCAATATTGGAGTGATTGTGGAATGAGTTTGGGAGGTAATTTTTTGTAGCGAAGCACGAGGTATGGACTTGGTATTCCTATACCCGTGTCGGGTATTCATTCCTTAAATGGGCCACGTTTAATGGATGAAGAGCAAATTCTCCTTCCTAGTTGACAGCAGTAACAGACATAGACCAGCTTCCCACAAAGCCAAGGTACGAATTCCTTTATTTTCTCAAAGTAACCTTTTTAAAACTACTAAATGTAATGAAAGATATTAGAGTAGCATTTCCCCTCTCCTTTATGGGATTACATTTTTTGTGTCTTTGGGCTAGTTTAACTGTCTGTCATTTTTTCAACAAGTGTGTCTTATGTTTGATTTTCCCAAACGCAGACAATAACTTCTGTATCCTTAAAACTTCCAAAAAAAAAATCACCTGAATATTATTCTTTAACTGCAGCTTCATTCATGCTCATGACAGCCTTCACAGGCTTTTCTTAAGACAAGAGCTTATTTGAAATGCAATCTCCTTACAGTACTTTGATCTTTTTTTTCCACGTTTTCTCGTGTTTTGCTTGATTTCCTAAATGGGTTTGTAATCTTTTACATACTCATTCGTATTTTATTTGGGCCAGTTTTGTTGCCACTGAGATTTTGAGCCACCTAACGGAGCTTCATTCACAAAATCTCGACTGGACCTGAACCCTCCCCCACCCATCCCCGTCAATTGGACCACCCAAGTTTAGTTGACTTTAGGCTCAAAAATTGACCCCAGCCAACTAAACTTGGGGGTCAAATTGACGGAGGTAGGGAGGTGGGCCCTCAAGCTGGATGGGGGGGGGGGGGTTAATGGGGATTAGAGATTAGAAACCATCAAATTTGCAAAAAGAGGAACGAGGTATCCTGTGGTACTAAAACCTCTCCCATTTTATTTCCATATAAGAATGCACATAAACTTGATTAATCTCTTTATGCTCCAAATAATGCTCCAAATTTATATATGGGATGTGATTCATGCTAACTTGCCTTCCGGAGAGAGTTACATGTTATAAGTCCTATGACTCCTATGAATAACTAAACACACATCTATATGAAATTAAATATAGAGTAAATTTTATAAGTAGTCCTTTATAATATTAGGATTTTTATATTTAGTCCTTTATTATTAAATAATATATTTTAAAACTTTCTTTTATGGGCACCTTTCCACGGGCAATATTTTTTTTAATCTTCTGACATATTGGTGTTAAATTAAGAGATAATAGTCCAGTGACGTATTCTGGTGTTAAATTAAGAGATAAAAGTTCAATTTATTTCATAGTAACATGCTTTGTTGCTAGCTTGATTATGATTGTAAATCTGATTATTGGATGTTGCCATGCATTTCTCTTAATTGCAATGACATGGGGTTTGGTTCCGTGCTAAAAGTTCAACCTAGTTCAATGCAATATATTTTTATTTACATTTTTATATACTCTTAGATGCTCAAAAGTTCAACCAAGTTCGTCAATAATATGAATTGATTGTTTTTTTTTATATCTTTGATGCTTATTTAAGTTTATTTGCATCCTAGCAAACTGATTAATTCAATAAGGGTTTGTTCTTTTCATCTTAATTTTAACTGGAGTTTGAAATGCAAAGTTTAAAGTCTATCTGGTAATTGGAGTATGGAGTCAATAGTAAAATGAACTAAAATCTAGAAATTGGAGTCTAACATTTGTATAGAAAGAGGGGTTTCCTCGGACACTATGACTTATAATGTTATCTTGCAAGAATTAGTGAGAGTAAATAAATATCACGACGCAGATTTACTCTTGGATGAAATGGCTGGTAAGGGTGTATCTCCCGATGGTCGCACATTAGCCTTGATGAATGACTTGCTCGCACTTAGAACTGGAGATGAAGCAATGCAGAAAGGTAATCCAGAAATTTGCAGGTAACTTATGAACAATAAAGTATTAAATGTTCGTGCCGAAAGGCACTTTTTAATGGTAAAGAAAGGGCTGATAGTAACGGTAGAAGATGTTGCAGACAAATGATGCCTTAAAGCTTGACGACACATATTGCACGGTCACGACATTTAACATGACGCGCTTCACGTATTCCATAAGCTTGTAATTAACTTAAGATATTTACATTTAATCGATGAAGTGAGCTATGTTTCTCTGTCAAGTGTTAAAACTGTTCACCAAATGCAGTCCTCAAAGTGAAAGCTGAGTCTTTGCTGTAAAATGTCCCACACTAGTGAGTTTAGCAAGACTCTAGCAGTATGAAATCTTTTAAGAGTTGTAAAGTTTTTCAAATGAAAAGAAAATTTTCCGATTTGAGGAGTATTAGGAAGTGTACCTCATTGTATGGTTTATGACTTTATAAAAAATTGTGCACATTCAATTTGACACATGTTTTTGGGGCAGTGTTTTCCTTACCTCTACAACAAAGGCTTATTTTGAGTAACTGAATATTCATTTTTCAAAAATTTGATTATGTCTAAAAATAAATATTCAGTTACTTGAAAAATTAGTATTCATTTACTCGAAAATCATTATTAATGCGGATAACACAAGAAACATCATACATCCAGATGTATGGTTTAAGTATCGTTATATATTGTTGTTCCAAAGAATCATTTATTCCTTTGTCCAAAAGAATATGCAAAAAATTACTCCTGGGTACCCCCTATTTTGAAAACCTAATTGCCGGGTACCTCATATTTTAAAAATATACTCCGAAGTACCCTCCATTTTGAGTAACTAACTACCGGGTACCTCACATTTTTAAAATATACTCCGGGATACCTCCAAATGTACATTAACTTATCCGTGAGGGACAAACCATCTCACTCTCCGTCAAAGCCAGTTACGCCATTAATTTTAAGAAATAGGGGTTTTGAATTTCAAAAATAACCTTGGTTCTTATACTTTGAGGATACGATCTATCTAGTTTAATCAAAGCTTTTTGAATTAAACGGAATGTCCCTCACGGGTAAGTTAATATACATTTGAGGTACCCCGGATTATATTTTAAAAATGTGAGTTACTTGACAGTTAATTTCTCAAAATAGAGGGTACCTTGCAAAATATTTCAAAAATATAAGGTATCCGAAAGTTAGTTTCTCAAAATAAGGGGTACCCAGGTGCAGTTTTCTAAAAGAATATGAGTCAATTTTACCGCGCACTACGAGTCATCGAATACTTATTTATCAACATCGTGTTTCCAATTGCCTTCGAAGTATGTAGATTCACCCTGAGTTCTTAATAGATCCAAATTACAACACTTCTTTTGAAATAAGACATCTCTAAGTGATATGATGAAAGAGTTAATTCAAAAGGTTAGATGCTATTGATGGACAAAATCTTCATCTCCCTTCTATATTGACTCAAATTTTGTTAGAATATAAATAACTTTTCCTGGGACACAACCACAAGTTTGAGAAGTTGAGCTTTTGGTTGAGTTTGTTCGTTGACATGGTATCAGAGCCTTGATGACTAAGTGGTCACGAGTTCGAAACTCAACGCCACCCAGTTTTAAAAAAATTTAAGGTTTCACGTCCAAGGCTAAAAAAAGAATACACCTGCACGAGAGGGAGCGTGTTAGAATGTAAATAACTTTTCTTGGGCAACAAACTTTTTACCTTAAAATTCTAAAATCCCCATGGAAAAATAATAAATTTTCAACACCTCAAATTGGTTCAATCATTTCTCTACATAAAATAAGGCTTGCTTTTAACTTTTGTTCGAGGCGAGCAAAGCTCTCATGCCTGTTCTACACTTCTACTGCAGCAGCAAATCCCAGCCAATAACTTCTTATTTCAATTCCTCCATTTTAATGGAATGGAAATAGTTCTTCACAAAATGGAAATTTGTAGGAGATGCGGGTCGTTTTCTGAATTTTCCTTCGTCAATATCATAACCATTGTTGGTTCCAGAAGAAGAATTGCGAGTAGCAGCCCCACGCCATCTACTCTTATGGCGATTCCGGCAAGAACGGCACCGGCGGAGACGGGTACTTATTCTCCACGCCGTCGATTTCACTCTCACCCTGAAATTATTCCTTCTGCAAATCGAAATCGCGTTCATTCTGGACACGATTTTAATTCAGTTCGTGATTTCGACCATGCCCGGGAACTGTTCGATCAAATGCTTCGCGCGCAACCATTGCCTTCTATTCTTCAGTTCACCAAACTGCTTAGTAAAATTGTGAAAATGAAACATTATGGGGCTGCTGTTTGCTTGTTTAAAGAAATGCGCAACCGTGGTATCTCAGTGGATTCGTATGCGCTGACCATTCTGACTGATGCATTATGCCTGACAAATCAAGCGGATTGCGGGTTTTCTGTGCTTGGGTTGTTCTTCAAATGTGGGATTGAAGTCAGTGTGGTGACATTCAACACACTGATCAAAGGTCTATGTCTGAATGATAGGATTGTGGAGGCCATAGAGCTATTCAAGAAGTTGGTTAGGGAGGAAGTTTGCCAAGTTGATAATTTCACTTATGCTATTCTCATGAATGGGCTTTGCAAGGCAGGTTATACTCAAAATGCTCTTGATTTACTCATACTAATGCAAAAGGAGGGGCCTAAGCCTAATAACGTAACATATAACACTGTAATTAATTCTTTGTGCAAAGATGGAATGGTTGATAAGGCTCTTGGCCTTCTCTCTCAGATGATAGAAAGAGGGGTTTCCCCGGGCATCTCTATATACAATTCTTTGATTCAAGGCCTTTGCAATTTCTGCCGATGGAAAGAGGCTACCAAGTTAATTAATGAGATGGTGGGTCATAATGTATATCCAGATGTCTTAACCTTCACTATATTGGTGGATGCTTTTTGCAAGGAGGGGAGGTTGAAAGATGCAGAAGCTATTATTCAAATCATGATTCAAAGAAACACTTATCCTGATGTGATCACATACAACACATTGATTGAGGGGTATTGTTTGCTAGGGCAGATGGATGACGCTCAGAGAACTCTTGGTCAGATGGTAGAGAACGGCGTTCGACCTAATGTTATGAACTATAACACACTAATTAATGGATATTGCAAAAGAAAAGTAATGGATAAGGCCATGCATCTTTTTAATGAAATGCCTCAGAAAGGGCTTTATCCCAATACGGTTACTTACACCACAGTGTTGCAAGGGCTGTTTCTTGTAGGTCGATGTGATGCTGCTTTAAATCTTTTTCAGGATATGCAACTGTCTGGGCATGCACCTAAGTTTCACACTTATTGTGTCTTACTTACCGGTTTGTGTGATAATGGACATATTGAGGAGGCAATGTCAGTTTATAGTATGTTACGTAGCAACGGGAACGGTTCTCATGTTTTTGGTAGCATCATGATAGATGGGTTATGCAAGATGGGGCTACTCAGTATTGCACGTGGTGTGTTGAGTAATCTCATCTTTAAAGATCAATACCTAAATGTGCGTGCATACACTGCAATGATAAATGGGCTATGTCGAGAGGGATTAGTACATGAAGCCTTAGACCTTCTTAGGAGAATGGGCGAAACTGATTGCTTACCGGATTCATTCACTTATAATGTTATTTTGAAAGAATTTGTTAGAATGAGAAAAATTCACGAGGCAAATATGTTGTTAGATGAAATGTCCAGCAAGTGCATTTCTCCCGACAATCACACATTGACCTTGATGAATGAGTTGCTTGCATTTGGAACAGGAAATGAACCAGTGCCGAAGGTGATCCGAAAATTTGCAGCAAATGTTTTAATCTGACTGTGTGTGGAGATTTTTGACCTTGTTCTTCTGCTTAATTTAAATTTATACTTCTGGTGGATTGCTTAACAATCCGCTCTTGAGTTACAACCGAAGAAGCGACGAATGTGTGAACGAATTCAATATTGGAGTGATTGGGGGAAGGGTTTGGGAGGTAATTTTTTGTAACGAAGCACGAGGTATGGACTTGGTATTCCTATACCGTGTCGGGTACTCATTCCTTAAATGGGACACGTCTAATGGATGAAGAGCGGGTTCTCCTTCACAGTCGATAGCAGTAACAGACATAGACCAGCTTCCCACAAAGCCAAGGTAACAATTCCTTTAAATTTTCAAAGTAACCTTTTTAAAACCACTAAAAGTAATGAAAGATATTAGAGTAGCATTTCCCCCCTCAATTATGGCACTGCAGTTTTTGTGTATGTGTTCTAGTTCAACTGTCTATTCTTATTTTCAACAAGTGTGTCTTATGTTTGATTTTCCCCCCTAACTCCTCTGGCCCCCCCAAGTTCAATTGTCTATTCTTATTTTCACTTTGTTGGTCTACTTTCAGTGCACATTTGATAGTGTAATATTGGCATGTCTCCTCTATTTTTGAAAATCTTTTGATGCCGTTTTTTAAAATATGTAATTTTTTTAATTCCTCACAATATAAAACGGTTTGTATATAACTTGTGTCAAACATAGTACTTTGAGGGTCCGAATGACACTTGGGGAGTTGGGGTGTGTGATTGTAGTATTGTACATCACCATTCTACCGTGCTTTGTTTGACAAAATTCTTTGTCACCAATATATGATTAAAGTCAAAGTCTAATTTACCTTTTTTCTGTGACTGTCTGGCTGGATCTGAGGAAAAAAATAATGTTCTTTCTTAAAACAAAAATAAAATTGGGCCAAAAGAAAAGAAAAACTACTACTACTACATTTATTTTAAGACCATAATTTGACTGAAGTAGTTGAGATCATTGAATTCGTTCAGTCCTTGTCTAAAATAATTGCATTAAATATTTGACTATATCTGCACTAAAAACAAAATCCATTTTGTATAAAATTAATCCCACGTACTATCCGAAAGATGGGTCTATACAAAGACTATGAATATACCCTCCAATCCATTTTGAACTTGAATAATACGTAAAATAAAAATTGCATGAAATTAAGATGGACTGCTCTACACAATTAAGAGGAAATAACAATAATAATATAATAATAATCATATTGATAATAATAATCATAATTAATCATAATAATATTGACGATAATAATAATAATAATAACGATAATAATAATAATAATAATAATAAAAATAATAATAATCCGTAATAAAATAGGAGGGATTTTTTAAACAAGTGATGTGTTAAGAACTTTTTTGAAAATCGAAACAATGGCGAAGTGGATTACGGCAACAAAAGTGAGTGGGACATCATATAAAGGTTTTTAGTAATAATAAAATTACACTAGTTGATACATTTATAGTTTTGACATAAATTTTTAAATATTATCCCCTTTGTCCCAAAAAATGTTTCTGTTTTATTTTTAGCGTATCTCGTAAAATATTTTCTCATATCCAAAATGTCTAAAATTTACTACATCTCTCCTTTATTGTGGGTAGAAGTTGTTTTGAAGGTATTTTTTTGGTATTTGAGACGTGTGATAGAAATGTTTTTTTTGCAATGTTCAAAAAATGAAACAAAAAAATCTTTTAAGAACAGGACAGGGTGTGTAGGGTTGGTAGGTTCCGTTTAACATCAGCATTTGAGATTAGTGTTAGCGTTCTGAAAAGACTATCCGACGGTAGACTTCGGCATTAGCATTTACAGAGTTAATCTATAAGATTAAAATTTTATTCAAAACGTTAACGCTAATCGTAAATGTTGTTCCCAAACAAAGCTTTAATCATAATAAGGACAAAATGTCTTTCTAGAAAAAGTGATCGAGAATTTACAAATGGTTGGGATTAATTAAAATATTCCAAAAAAAAATTAATTAAAAAAAGGTAAAGTCGACTGGAGAGGAACTAATTAAGTTTTCCTCGTCGGAATGTCAAATAAAGAAGGTGGAAAAATCATTAACATCTTTGTTGACAAAATGGACAATATATGTTTTCTGTTGGCTATTTATTATTAGCCATAGGAGTGATATTTTTTGTGTATTATTATGAAATATAAAAAAAATATAGCTTTTATTCGTAGAGATTCTTCTAATATCATTTTCCGACGGTTTTATAATATTTTTCAGAGTTTTTGCACATTTAAAATGACAACAAAAACTAATAATGATGTTACGTGAAGAAAAGGGGTTAAATTATTAGACCAGCTTGCAACCTAAAGTCTTAAAATGGTTCTCGTGTTTGAAATGTATGACATTTTGTGCTGTCATTAATTTGTAAGTATGTGGTTAAAAAGACTCACAAATAATACTCCTAAATTGAATTCACGCTCGTTCAGTGATATTATTAATTCCCTAGAAAGGGTCAGACAACGACAGCGCTGGGGAGATTCAATGGGCAGAGCTTCTGGCTGGGATTGAGCTGCTAGTTTAACTTCGAAACATTCTATTTTAGTCATTGTTGCTTTATGAATATACTTTTAAATTTTCGTAAAGAATCCGACTCTAGAGAAAGTAGCATTTGGATGTGTAAATTATTGAACATTCGAATGTAGACAATATCCCGACTTTTTCCTTTGTATAACCTCGTCGAACATTCGAAATGTTGTTACACAACATTCCAGTGTTGAATAATGAGTTGCAACATTGTTTATTCGAAAGTTTCTATGCAACATTCAAGTGTTTGATGATAACCTGCCGCACCCCTTACGGTTGATCTGCTAATAACATATAAATGTTGGTAATGTAACGTTTGGCGATCATACGCGTTGATTCACGCGTAAACTACTGTAAATATTCGAATGTTAGAATAAAATATTCAAATGTTTATATGGCTGGTTGTGTTTCCGATTCTTCGTTAACCTCAAGCAAACATATTGTTCTTTTATCACAATTTAACACGATTATTGAGTTATTTTGATATACCATGAAATAATTTTAATTTGAAATCATATTTTATACATTTTGTTGAGTCTAATGTACACGTGGCATGCAAAAGATCAAAAGTACTAGCTAGACTTGACAATCATGGTCCAACACCTAGAGTGTATAGTACCTCATGGATGGTTTTTACTTTTTAATTAACTGCGAAAATTTCTTAATTAGTTTGACTTTAAATATTTCTATTTCTTTTCCAAATAATTATAAATCATTTCAAAATATATTTCTAGACGTCTTGACTCTTGATTGATCAAAGGCGAAGGAGAGTTTCATGTCTCATTTTGAAGATTAGATGGTAATTATTATCAAAGAACAAATATTGATCAATTGTGAGTTAATCTCACTTAACTTAATTAATTGACATGGAAGATGGATGACAACATATTGGAAAAAATGAGTCAAAAATATTTGTTTGGGTCTAATTTTGATATTTCTATTTTTCTTTATAAAATTATTAGTTTGTAACTTAGCGTTAAAAATGTTTATAATTAAATAGGTTGCATTTCCTACATGCATTATTATTATAAGATGGGAAATTTACTTAAATAGGACTAAAACATAATGACTTTCTCATTATAGGTCTATATAATTTTATTTTCAAATATAGGACCATTGGTCATTATTCAAGTAAATGTTCATCATTACTTGACATTATTTCTTCTACTAGACATTATTAAGTACTCCATACTATTTAGAGAATAAAAAAGTTTAATTGTTACATTGAAAAATAACTTATGTTTTAGTCTTATTTAGTACAAATTTCACTTATAAGATCCATTTTGAGATGGATTTAAAACTTAGTATGGTTATTATGAGACTAGTGAGAATTTCATATAACTTCTGAGTTACTCCTCCGTCTTAAAATATTCTTTTCAGTTACTATTTACTCGGTCAAATTTTAATCATTTTCTTTATCTATTTTCGAATGTTCAATTGATATGAAAATAAAGTCGGTCAAATTTCGTAAACAAAAGCAAAAAGAACGTTTTAGGTCGAAGGGAATATAAATTATGACATTTTCGATTTATAAACTTGTGAACTTTATTTAAAGTGACTACATTTCATATTTTTGTGACAAGATCACATAGGCCTGCGGAAGTTTACATGGAAGCTTCTTAAAAAAGATTAGGGATGGAAAATATTATTGGTGTGTAATGTCATCTTGTTATTTGGTCACACATTGCATTATTTCAGTCTTTTCATATCTCCATAAACCTAAGAAGATTTTTTTTTCCAATTATTAATATTTATGATGCGAAACACTTTTCTCTTTTCTAAATGAATTTTAACCATTTATCTCCCATCATCTCTGCAATATATTTGGAAAAATATAAAAAATTTAAAAAAATCCCTGAAGTCATTTTTTATATGGTTGGAATGTATTTGAACAATTCAAAAATTTTAATATCTCCGAAATGAAAATATATTTTTTCGAGATGGATGGAGTGTATTTTAGCAATTCAAAATATTTTTTTTAAATGGATGGAGGGTATTTCAACAATTTTTCTTAAACTCTATGAATTCAAAAGTGTTAGGGTCTGTTTGGTAAACGGAATTGACATTATTGGAATTGAATTGAAAATTGAAATTTTATGGAATTGAGTTTAATGGAATTGAATGCTCCAATTCCAATTCATTTTTGGCACTACCAATTCCAAATCCACATATTTTTGTGCTACCAAACAGCAGAATTTGAACTATTGTCCTTAACTATAATTTCATGGTTTGAATTGCGTGTACCAAACGTAGTCTTAAAAATTTTCTGGGACAAAGGGAGTATAAGTTTGTGAAATTTGTACTCCCTTCGTCCCATAAAGTCCTTCACGTTTCAAAAAAATTGTGACCCTAAAAGTCCTATTCATTTCTATTAAAAAACCACTTTTACCCCTTATTTTGTTATACCCTACCTATCACATCATACATTTTTTCCTAATAATCTACACATTATATTCTACTTTTATCTATCACATCAAGGGTATTTTTGGAAAGTCAACACAAAATTATCCCTCCTTATTTTACCACTTTAGTCAAATCATCCCTATCTTTATGGGACGGAGAGATCGATTATTAAATAGTACTCCACTAAAACATACTCTGTATGTCTTTTCCTAATGTAGCACCTACAACTTTTTATTCTCTAAATAGTACTTGAATAATGTTCAACGGTGAGAAAAATGTCCGGTAGCGATAAACATTTACTTTGAATAATGTCCAATGGCGGTGGACATTTAAATGAACAATGTCCTGTGGGTATTATATAGTGGTAAATAAAAACATATAGTACTACATTAGAAAATCTACTATGTTTTAATACTATATAAATACTTCATTCGTTCCCTTAAAAGGTTCATATTTTGACTTTGGGCCAAAATAAGGAAAGTGAAATTTTGGTTGACTTTCCAATTTTGCCCATGATGTGATGAGTAAAAGTAAGATGTGATAGTTTGGTTATTAGTGAAAAGGTATAATGTGATAGATAGGGTATGAAAAAGTAGGGGTAAAAGTAATTTTTAATAGAAAAAAGAAGTATTTTAGGGAATTGGAAAAAATAAAAGAGGAAAGGTTTTAAGGAATGGAGGGAGTACTCTATAAATAAAATCTCCTTTTTTAACTTTATTATAGTAGTAAAAAAAATAAAAACTAAACACAGCAAAATAAAGTGAGGACAAAGACTACCATCCATTATCCCAATAATCTAAGATGATTGAGCAAAGTTTTTCTAAATAAATAATTAAATTTATTTAAAAACTAGTGTAAAATTAAAATATAAAGATTAAAGATTTTAAAACTATATTATTTTATCAAATAAATTTAGAGAAAAAAATGAAAAAAATTAAACATGTAGGTAGTGAAAGGAAACTTCATATTGGGAGGGAGTGTTGGATTTCAATGAGGAAGAACACTACGAAGCAGTGTTAAACGAAGAACTCGATAGTATAACGAATCGCGTACGAAACGCTTTTAGATCAAAGTTATTTCGAGGTATACGAAATACTTCAATCGGATAAAACGTTAACCAAGAACAAGCACTCGAAAATCGGTTCTCAATCCATACAACAAGACTCTATTTTATAGAGTCGAAAATTTCTTGATCGGACATGAGCGTTCGCACGGAGAAGAGGTGTGAGAAGTTCCTGCGGCTTTTGGAGTAAATTTCGACGTTATCCACTCGTTGGAGTCCTTTACCGTTTTGGACTCCAATCACGAAAATTTTAAGGATTTTCATAAAAAACAACGTCCGAAATAAAAAATTTCCAAGCTCCCCGGCCAGGGGCTCTGCCCCTTGGACCCCGCTACCCAGGGGCTACCGCCCCCGGACCCCTGCAGTGAGTTTGTAATATCGTTGAACGAGTGCGCACTCCGCGCCTCTTAACTCGTTTGACAACGTATATTAAAATTCTTGTTCAATCTAAGTAAATCCAATTACACAAAATAAACCGATGATACTAAAATCACAAACAGGGAGTAGTAGTAGTAGTAATAATAAAAATAATAATAATAATAATAATAATAATAATAATAATAATAATAATAATAATAATAATAATAATAATAATAATAATAATAATAATCTAAATCCACTATAAATACAATGACCAGCTCAGCCAGACATGCTGCTAAGGATGAAATGAATGAGCAGTTCAAACTTCAAATAGTTTAGCTCAATAATTTATCAAGAAAAAAAAAGGAAGAAAGAGAAATATGGAGGAAAAGATGCAAGTTCAAAGAGTTAGCTTACCACCGTCTTCTCCGGCGGCACACTGGCCGGAAAACGGTTGCCACCGGGAAAAAGACGGCAAGGCTTCGCCGGAGGAGAAAACGGCATCGCCGCCGATGACCCAAAACAAGCCCGGCGGATGGAGAGCCATGCCTTATGTCTTAGGTTCTTTTTATTCCTCATTTACCCCAAAAAAAAAAACTTCTTGCATAATTTTTTTAAAATTACAAGCTACTTCTAGCTCTTTCATAAACCTTATTCATATGGTTTTCTTTATTTTTTGGGTGGATGGCTACTAATTTTCTTGGCTGATGATTATTTTTTGGGTAAAATTTTATTTGTGTATATTGACTTTGGACAGTTTGCGAATAGCATTAGAAGCTATTGTTAGCAGTTTGAAAAGACTATCTACAGACAACGTTAAACGTTAGCGTATTCAAAGTTAATCTGCACCATTAATGTTTTATCTTAAACGCTAATGCTATTAAAAAATGTAATTCCCAAACAACCCCTTTGTAAATGTTATAATTAAATAATCATTTTAAAATATTAACGCTAAATGGTGATGTTTAATTTTAAGAAGCACTTTATATCACCAAAAATTTCTTCAAAACACTAATCTTGATTGAAAACTTTGTTCCCGAACAAATCGTATGTGTTGTTGGATTACTTTTCCTCTTTAGTAGGTTGATGTTATGGAATGAAATCTTTAAATCTTAATTAGTATGATAATTATGACTTAAATGAGCTACCACCCTATTAGTAAAAAAATACTCCTAAGATACCTGTATAAAACAGTAATTTAATATACAAATTAATACTTTAATAATCTATTAAAAAAATCTCTTTTACCCTTACTTTTTCTTAACCTAGCTATCACATCATACTTTTTTCTCTAATAATCTATCCATCACATCTTAATTTTATCGATAAGATCAAGGGTCAAATTGGAAGCAAACTACAATTTAACATACCTTTATTTTACCATTTGGTCAAGAGTGAAACTCTTTTATTTTAAGAACGAAGGAAATATTACCTCTTGTTTTAATTTATAAAAATGGCTTGTGATGTAGTTTTTAAATATTTGACAGGAAACGAGACATTTGAGAGACTGGCATCAGTAGGGTTGATGGCAAACTTCTCAGTGTTTCTGTTGACAGTGTATCATATGGACATAGTGTCAGCTTCAAACATGATGAGCATTTGGTCTGGTGTCACAAATTTCATACCTTTGTTGGGTGCCTTTCTCTCAGACTCTTTTCTTGGCAGATTTTGGACCATTGCTTTCTCATCCATTGCTGAAATCTTGGTACGCAATAATTACTCCCTCTCTTTCACTAAATTAATGTTCTACTCTCTTCGTTTCACAAAATTCTTCTGTGCTAATTTTTTTTATATCCTACTCTCTCCTTCCTAAATTATTTGCCACATTTGTATTTCCGAGACAAAATATTAAGTTTTTTCTATTCATTTTATTTACATATTGGTATAAAAATAAAAAATAAAATTTACATATAAAAAAACTACATGAAAACTTTTTCGAAATAAGAGGTGTCAAGAATATTTTATTTTATCAAATAACCAATGAAAATGTCGAAATAAACAAAAGTTCCCGCGACAGCTGTAAAAGCAAATGTTGTGAATATTTAGGGACGGAGGAAGTATAAAACACTTTTATCCCGCCTTAAATATGCAAAATATCATCAAGATAGTTTTTACCCGCAATAAACTAAACAAACACATTTTAGGTGAGGTAGAAATGTTGTTAGTGGATCTGCCAAAAATTAGGGCGGAAGAGTTTTGTGAAACGGATGGAGTATTGAAAAAGTAAGGGTAAAAGTAGTTTTTTAATATAAAGTGGAAGTGTTTTAGGGAATTAAAAAAATGAAAGGGGGAGAGTTTTATGGAACGGAGGGAGTAGTATTATCACCTTTAGTTTGATACATCTTTTATGTAATGTTTTGCTATATAATTTTTATATAAATTTTATTCATATAATCAAATAAATTAAATTAAAAATAAAATTTGTCAAGTATCGTAAGGTAGCATGACACGTGAAGATTATGTGAATTCGATAGCCCAACTAAAAATTTGGCCTAGTGTTATATGTGTGATGTCTTATTTAGCGTTTAGCCTTTTATTTATTTATGGGTCAATTTTTAGTTGGGCTATCGATTATGTGAATTCGATAGCCCAACTAAAAATTTGGCCTAGTGTTATGTGTGTGATGTCTTATTTAGCGTTTAGCCTTTTATTTATTTATGGGTCAATCAATAGTGGGCCGTCCTTTCCTTTATATGGCTCAATAATTCCATGGCGCTCTGTGTTTTGGTTTCTTTGTCGTCTCATTAATCAATTGATATTCCTTGACAAGACAAAGAAGGGGGTACTTTCTACTTTGCACACCTGCTCCCTCCAAAAAAATCATGTTTTTTACCAGTAATATTTACTATTCCGTCTCGCTCTATTCGTCCACTTTTGACTTTTGAAACTATTTATTTAAGTACTTTTACCCATCAAATTCTCTTAAACTATGTTTGCTTCAAGAAATTTGAAAGGGAAAAGAAAAGAAAATGAAGTAAAAAACCATTTTTCTTGTTTGGTTAGAGGGGAAAAGAAAGGAAAAGTGGAAGGAAACGAAAATGAGGAGGCAAAATGTACCAAGTGGAGGGAAAACCAAATTCCTTCCATTTTGGTGAGGAAAATGAGAGAAAAACATTTTCTTTTCTTTTCCTTCCAAAATCCTTAAGCCAAACATAGTGTTAATGTGTAAGCCTAAATATAGTCATGTGTGGTATTGTTTGATTTGTCTTAACATATACTCCCTCCGTCCTATAATGATCTTCCCGGTTCGCAAAACGAAGAAAAATCCCAAGTTTTTTCAATCTATTTTATTTAAATATTGGTATAGAAATAAAAACTAAAACATACATATTTAAAAACTACACCAAAAGTTCAACAAAACAAGTGATGGCAAGAATATTTTATTTTATCATATAAGACATGAAAAAACACAAATAAATATAAATTTCCATGAAGTTGGAATAGTGCTCTGGGAAGATCATTATAGGACGGAGGGAGTAGATTATTAATATATAATTTCTATAATTTTTTAATATACAAATTACAAGATAAAATGAATTAAATAAGTGTATTAGATAGTGTGTAAAAATGAAAGTGGACAAATACTCTGGGACGGAGGTAGTAATTGTTTTAATCCAGTGAACTAAAAATACAATTTAATCCGCAATTTATAGCCATACAAAGTGTATGATGTCATGTTTGAAAAACTTTTGTGATCACACTTAATTAGCACATCTTCTTTTGGACGGTGAGATTATCATTTATCAATGATTTTATCAATACGCACTCAATGACTGAAATTCATGATATCCCATATAGTCAATGGAGTCAATGTGAAAATCTCTCTCTTTTTTTTAAAAAAAAAAAACTTTGAATAACTTACCATTCTTTTCTCTTTTCTCCATTACTAACCATATTTTTTTTCAAAAAAAAAAACCATATTTTTTCACTTTCAAAGATGAGAGGCATCTTTGATTTTCTGATAATAACTCTCAGGTACGATCCTCCATTATGTTAAATATACTTCGAAGTACTCTTGATTTTCTAGTAAGAATTCTCAGATATCATATTATTCAAAATATATTTCGAGGATCCTTAAAATTTGTGGTAATGTAGTCCGAGGGTATATTATGCCTATTTGGTCGTTGTGATTAAAAGTTCTGTTACTTTGACAAATATTAAATTTTACATTGATAATCATTATTTTATTAAACTTAAATAAAATTCTTCAATTTGTCAAAGTGAAAAAACTTTTAATTTAACACCTAAATTGAGAGAATGTAATCTCTTAATATAATATCACAAATTTTAAGAACCTTGGAATATATTTCGGATGATGTAAGACTTGAAAGTTCTTATAAAAAAGTTACGGATATCTCTGAGTATATTTCCGTTAATGTAAAACTAAAGAGTTATTAACAAAAAGGTAACAGAAAGTAATTGTTTGTTCAAACATTGTGTCAAATTACACTAAGGGTCCGTTTGGTATACGGAATTGGAATTGGAATTGAATTAGAATTGAGATTCCATGGGATTCAATTCCATAAAATTGAATTCTGTCAATTCCAATTCATTTTTTACACTATCAATTCCAAATCCACATAATTTTTGTGCTATCAAACACCAGAATTGGAATTGAAGCCCTCAATTCCAATTCCATACTTTGAATTCCATGTACCAAAGGGGGCCTAAAAGTTTTTTTTAAAGAGAGAGTAGCTACCGAGTAAATCACAGCCAACAATGATTGAAGGTGCATGTTACACATGGATGGGGTTGTCAATTTGATTTGAAATTAAAGTTCAAACACTATAAATATAACCCCACCACTTCTATCCTTTTTTCAAATTTCAATCATAATTTCCACTATATAGGGTGCATGTTTACACCAAAGTTTTTTTGACCCATGTTTGGAATCTCTTTAAAAACTTTTCTGTTACGGAGTATAATTTTATTTAGTTAAATCGTGATACTTTGACCACAAATTATGAATCCCTCATTAAACCTCTCCCCCTGGCTCGTTCCTAATGCAATCTCACATCCTCTCTAATAGCACCCTCAAAAATTTGTTGACTTTGAAATTAAATGTGATCTCAAAGTTAACACATTTTGGAGAGTATAATTGGAGAAAGTGCAAGAGTGTGTTTAGGATCAGCGAGATTAGAAGGGGTTTGTCGAATCATTAGAAAATTGAAAATCATCAATATTATGAATGAAACATCGTAGATTTATTAATTGACCTCATGTCATATTATAGCATGGATAATTGGATAGTGATGTGAACACAACCCCATCCAGCCATATGATAATGGTTTTGATTACAATTATGGTCACCATTTCTTCATAATTACTCCCTATTTTCTATCATGTATTTTACTTTTGTGCATATTACATTTAAGATTAGAGTGGTGCTATTTTGGTCCTCAGGTTCACTTGTAAAATACAGACTATCATTTGTATTTTAAATGGGTTTTTCTTGGATCTTTTTTTACAAGGTCTTATACATGTAATCTTTTCATGTATTAAGATTTATATTATGACTATGGACCTAATGATCACAATACAATTTACTTTTTAATGGTGTTGTGCATCTGTTGTCCTACAGTGTAAATGAAAAATGTGGACCTTTTACCACTTTTCATATAGACTTACAAGTGAATCTTTCTTCTTCTTCAAAACTTTAAATGACGTTTAGGCACTACAATTCATAAAATGAGTACGGAGTGAGGAATAAATAGGATTTGATGATATGGCTTATTAAAAAGAATTACTCTTTCCGTTTTTGAGTATTTGTCTATTTTTTACTTTTTCGTTCAAAATGTATATTTTTTTTTACCTCAAATTAAGTAAAAATAATATTGAATAATAATACTAAAATAGTTTTATTAGATTTATTCTATTAAATATTTTTAAAACATTATTTTATCTAATTAATATATATATATATATATATACACACACACACACTTATATTTTATTTAATTATAGGTCAAAGATTGAAAAATCAATTGACTAAAAAATGTCAAAATTGAACAAATACTAAAATACCAATGTAATTGCATATAAACTATAGATGTTCTGGCATATACTCCCTCCGTCCCAAAAAGATTTACACTTTTCCAAAAAATTGCGTCTCACAATCTCCTACCCATTTCTATTAAAAAACCATTTTTACCCCTTACTTTTTCAAACTCTACCTATCACATCATACCTTTTTTCTAATAATCTACACATCACATCCTACTTTTATCCATCACATCAAGGGTATTTTTGAAAAGTTAACATAAAATTATCACTCTCTTAATTTCAACTTTAGTCAAAATGTGTAAATCTTTTTAGGACGGAGGTAGTACTACCTCCGTTTCTCAAAAGAGTTCCTCTTTTGACTTTGGGAGATAAAAAAAGGAAGTGTTAAGTTGTAATTGACTTTCCAATTTTGCCCTTGATGTGATATGTAAAAGTAAGATGTGATAGTTTAGTTGTTAGTGAAAAAGTATGATGTGATAGGTAGAGAATGAAAAAGTATGGGTAAAAATTGGTTTTTTAATAGAAAGGAAAAGTGTTTTAAGAAAAACAAAAAAATGAAAGAGAAAAAGTTTTAAGAAACGGAGTCAATAGTTATTATGGGTTGAGACTTGAGAGTTAGATCCATTCTTTTTTACAATAAGTCCAATATCTAGAATTAATTATCAAAGAACTTTTGCTCAAAAAATATTACTATTGGGTATGATACTTTTTTATATTTTGACTAGGAATATGAATTTGGGTTTGACAGGGGATGTTGACATTGACCATAATAGCCCTGGTTCCAGGACTACGTCCGCCGCCATGCAAAGCATCCGCCACCAACCAACAAGGCTGCCGAGGACCCACAAAGTCACAGCTGGGCTTTCTCTTCTTGGGACTCGGCTTCCTCGCCGTCGGCTCCGGCGGAATCCGGCCGTGCAGCATCCCGTTCGGGGTGGACCAGTTCGACCCCACCACGGAGGAGGGCCGGAAGGGGATCGCCAGCTTCTTCAACTGGTACTACACTTCCTTCACGGTGGTGCTCATACTGGCGTTGACCGTCGTCGTCTACATCCAAGACTCCGTCAGCTGGGCCCTCGGATTCGGAATCCCGGCGGCGCTCATGGTGTTCGCGATTGTCCTGTTTTTCCTCGGCACGCGCGTATACGTCCACGTGAAGCCGCAGGGCAGCGTCTTTTCTGGTATTGCGCACGTCTTCGCCGCCTCGTTTAATAAACGGAAAGTCAAGCTCCCGGGGGATCAAGACGACGGCAGCGCCTATTATGATCCCCCGGTTGCATTTCTCGTCAGAAAAAAGCTTCCCCTCACTGATGATTGCAGGTATAGATTTAGTAAAATTTGCACTGAATAGGACTAAAACATAAGTCATTTCTAATGATGTTGGACATTTAGTTGAATAATGACTAATAGATAATGACTAATAATCTTACATTGGAAAAAAAACATACGATCCTATATTAAGAAAGTCATTATTTTATAGTCATGTTTAGATAAATTAGCCATAGATTTATCGTTTATACTTAGTCCGTCTTATAAAACTTTCAAAGACACAAAAAGACATACTCCCTTCGTTCTTTTAAACTCTTCCACTTTTGATTTTTGACAAAAATAAGGAAAGTGTAATTTTGATTGACTTTACAATTTTGCTCCTGATGTGATGGGTAACAGTAAGATGTGATAATTTGGTTATTAGTAAAAAAGTATGATGTGATTGGTAGGATATGAAAAAGTAAAGGGAAAAATGGTTTTTTAACAAAAAATGGAAATGTTTTAGGTAGTGTTTGGCAACTAGCATTTCATTTCAATTAATGCATTTCAATTCCAAAATTTGAAATCCTGAATTTCAAATGACAAGGGGAGGTGCATGCATTTCAAATTAAGCTTTGTTTTGAATGTAAAGAATTTGATTCAAATCCAAATTCAAAATGCTTCAGTTTCCCAAATATAGAATTTAAGCCAAATCCGGATTTGAAATCCAAATTCATGTTCCCAAACATACCATTAGGGAATTCAAAAAAATAAAAGGGGAAGGATTTTGTGGCCTTTTTCAATTAATTGATCATAAAGATGAAATAATCAGGTTTTTAAACAAAGCCGCCGTGATAACGGAAGGAGATTTAAACGGAGACGGAAAGCCCAATAACAGGTGGAGGCTGGTCACCGTCCATCAAATGGAAGAAGTGAAATGCCTAGTGAGAATTATCCCCGTTTGGGCCGCCGGTATCATTTGCTTGGTCGCCATTGCCCAACAAGGCACCTTCACCGCCTCTCAGGCACGTTGTTTAATTTGGTCAACGTCCGAATATAACCTTTTCAAAACGCTATCGTGTGTTTGAAAACACCAAATAAACGATTTTTCGTTGGTGTTTGTAGGCTCTCAAAATGGATCGTCACATCGGCCCGAAGTTCCAAATCCCGGCGGGCTCCCTCTTCGTCATCTCGATGGTCACGATCGCGTTCTGGATCCCGGTGTACGACCGCCTCGTCGTGCCATGGATCCGGAAGCGAACGAAGGTCGAGGGCGGGATCACGATGCTGCAGCGCATTGGGATCGGGATCGTCCTCTCCATCGTCGGCATGGTCGTGTCAGCGGCGGTGGAGAGGAAGCGCAGGGCCAACGCCGTGGCCCACGGCGGGCCCGACGGGGTGGCGCCCATGACGGTCATGTGGCTGGCCCCGCAGCTGGTCGTCATGGGCTTCGCCGAGGCGTTCAACATCATCGGGCAGATCGAGTTCTTCAACCGCGAGTTCCCAGACAGCATGAGCAGCGTGGCGAACTCGTTGTACTCCGTAACCGGCGCGGGCGCCGGTTACGTGAGCGTGCTGCTGGTGAGCGTTGTGCACAGGACGACGGGGAGGAACGGCCGGCCCGACTGGTTGGACAAGGACATAAACAAGGGAGCGCTCGAGAACTATTACATGTTGATCGCGGGAATGGGAGTGGTGAACTTGGTGTATTTTGTGTGGGTTGCGCGGGGGTATCGTTACAAGAGTCAGGTCGGGATCGGGGAGGTGGAAGAGGAGGAGGACGGCGGTCGTCGGACACCGTTCGGAGATGATATTGAGCTGATCAAAAATAGTGTTGGTAAAAGTCAGAATGAAGTTTGAGGTACACTCTACGTGTAGTAGTGAGACTTATGTAGTGATGGTATATGTAGATAGTATATAGAGAAATTTACTTAAATAGCACTAATATATAATGACTTTACCCAATTAGCACCACATGTATTTTTCTTCCCAATGTAGTACTTTTAGTCATTATTCAAATAAATATTTGCCATCACAGGACATTATGGATATTATTAAGTGCTATTTAGGGAATAAAATAATTTAAGTGCTATTTAGAGAAATGACTTAAGTTTTAGTGCTATTTAGTGCAAATATTTCTAGTATATATGCATGCAAATGATGCAATCATGAACAAATGCGTATTTCCTCTTGCATAGTATTTGTTCGGTTTTGTGAGTTGAATTTTTTTTTAAAAAATAGTTATTAATTAAATAAAAATGATACTCTGATCTATCGATCCGAGATCTTTGTATTAGTTTTTTATTTGTCACTCATATATTTTATCATTATTTTTAATTAACATTCAAAATATCACAAATATTCTCGCTTATTTTATTTATATTACAGCTTACTCACCTCATCTAATAGACTCCAACCACTTTCATTAAACATATTTTGGTAAACGTTTACCTTTTTCAATTTTCCTTGAAAATCTCAAAAAATTAAAATAAAAAGATCTTAGGGGGATAGAACAAGTATTAGATATTGATACATAAATAATTTTATCAGACTTATTTTATACAACTTTTAAAACATTGTTTTATCTATTTAATATACCATATAGATCCATTTAATTTGAGGTGAAAGATAAAAATACTCCATCTGTCCCAAAAAGAATGCCACATTTCTTTTTTTAATCATCACGAAAATTTTTGTTTATTTGTATGTTTTCATTGATTATTGGATAAAATAAAATATTTTTGACACCTCTTATTTTGAAGAACTTTTCATGTAGTTTTTAAATATGTAAATTTTATTTTTTTTACCAATATTTGAATAAAATAAATTGAAAAAACTTGATATTTTGTCTCGTTTTACGAAATGTGGCAAATATTTCGGGGTGTAGGGAGTATGATTATATTGATGATGATGATGTTATACTCCATACCACAATTCAAAAAACAAGATAAAATTTCATGTTTTTTAATTCATTTTATTTAAATATTGGTATAGAAATAAAAATAAAAATTGCATATTTAAAAGCTTCATGTATGAAAAGTTCTTTGAAATAAGAGGTGCCAAGAGTATTTTATTTTATGGAGTATCAAATAATCAATGAAAATGTACAAATAAATAAAAATTCTTGTGATGGTTGAAAAAAGAAATGTGAGAAACATTTTGGGACCAAGGGAGTATTACATATGGAGTACTATCTCCGCCCTAATAAAAGGTTTTAGTTTTGATTTGACACAAATATTAAGAAATACTCCCTCCGTCCCATGAAACCTTTCTCCTTTCTTTTTTCATCCGTCCCAAAAAACACTTCTCATTTCTATTAAAAAGTCACTTTTACCCCTTACTTTTTCATACCCTAACTATCACATCATACCTTTTTACTAATAATGTATCCATCAAATCATATTTTTACTCATCACATCAAAAGACATTTTTGGAAATTCTATACCAAAATACACTCCCTTTAAATCCCTCCTAAAAAGCAAAAGTCTCATGTTTCATGAGACGGAGGGAGTATAAAATTCTATAGTTGAATAAGGTGTAGAAGAGAGAAATTATTTGGATCGCAATTTTTTTACATAAAGTATAAAGTAATTTTTTTTCAATGAACAAAGAAGAAAATATGATTTTTATAGAACAAAACAATTTATATAATTATATACTCGTAGGAATTATAATGTATGATTCCTGACCAAACACTGGCTTATTTAATTATTTTGAATTTCAAATTCATGTCATATTTTTCCAAACCTATTTATATATACATATACTCCCTCCGTCTCCAATTTGATTACAAATTGGAAACTACGAGGCAAAATCTCTCATTCTTTTGAAAATTTTTATTTACGAATTGGTACATCAATAAGAATTAAAAATTACATATAAAAAAATTAGGTCAAAAGTTCTACAAAATGAAAGGTGACAAGAATATTTTATTTTATAAAATACTCAATGAAAATACACAAATAAAAAAAATTATCGAGAGAATAGAGAAAAAAGATTTTAATCTATTTCGAGAAGAAAAAAGTACCGAGTATAAAAGTTTCATCAAATTGATGAGCCCAAGGCATTCAACATCATCGGGCAAATGGAGTTCTTCAATCGCGAGTTCCCAAACAGCATGACCAGCGTGGCGAACTCGCTATACTCCGTAACCGGCGTGGGCGCCAGTTACGTGAGTGTGCTGCTGGTGAGCGTGGTGCAAAAGACTACGCGAAAGAACGGCAGGCCCAACTGGTTGGACAAGGACATAAACAAAGGAGCACTCGAGAGCTATTACATGTTGACCGCGGGAATGGGAGTGGTGAACTTGGTGTATTTCATGTGGGTTGCGCGGGGAGGGTTATCATTACAAGAGCCAGGTCGGGACCGGGGAGGAGGAAGAGGAGGACGGTGGTCGCCGGACACCGTACTGAGATGGTATTGAGCTCAGTAAAAGTGGTGTTGGTAACACTCACAGTGACGTTCGAGCCTCCACCGTATAGTGAGATTTATGTATTGATGGCATATGTATGTGGTTTATAATCTTTATATGCATGTAATTTTATATATACGCTGAGTATTTATCTAACTTTAACTCGATTATAAGTTAAATAAAATTAATATTAGAAATAACTTCTTATTTAGGCTCAATTTCCGTGGAGTTTCAAAACCTTTTTGACTCCTACTTTCTGAAATATCCAAACAGACCCTTAAGCTCCGTGCGCACCACTCAAACAAGAAAACATTGGTCACGTTTGGCATCAATCCTATATATTAGCATTGACGTTTTGAAAAGACTATTTGACATCAACTTTTATTACTAGCGTTTTCTGAATTAATCTACCTATTAATATTCATCCAAAACGCTAACATTTACACTAATTGAAAACGCTCTTCCCAAACAAGACCATAATATAGAGGGAGCTCTATCATTCATCCAAAAAGCTCTAATTTTGAGAGGAAAAAGGAATATTCGAAAGACGGGGGGGGGGGGGACAAAATAAATAAAAAAACAGGTTTGGGAGTGCATGTCAAAGAAACTACAGGTAAATCTTTCCTTCATCGCATAACACCACCTCTGAGAGAGTTCCATTTTTTAACCAAGGAAAGGCATTCAAATCTGGTACTGGGAGGGAACCCTTTAACCTTTTTCATCAATAAAGCAAAACCCCAAAGCACAGTTAATAATATTCTTCTTCATAGTTACCAGCTTGGCCTCCAAAAGGGTGGTTCCCATAATGACCACCGCGGCGGCCCCTTCCCCGGAAGTGAGAATTCCTCGGGACGTTATTACCGGCACCCGGCTGGTCATACTGGTTGTTACGCCCGTTCTGGTAGCCTCCACCACCCCTGCCGCCACGTCCTCCACGGCCATTGGGATATCTCCCTCTGCCATTTCCTCGGTGGCCACCCCTGGGATTATTATGATTCTGGTATGGTCTTCGAGGAGCTTGCTGTTGTTGGCCCTTATCATCACTGTGATCATGAGTTCCTTCCACTTCGGGTTGGATGTGTTCTGTTTCGGCTGGCAATGCAGATGTGTTTTCCTCAACCTGCTGCCCCACATCAAGGTACGTTTGGATCTTAGAAAAACATCATGGAATTGGAAATACACAATATGCTATTCTATAAATCATGTTACGGAGTATTTATTTGTTTTGATTATATATAGACTGAAAATGAAAACAGATGCAACCTTTTTAATACAAAAATAGCCATATTTTTCCCTTGCATATGTTTTCCCTTCGCATATGTTGGCTCAATTTTTTCTTTTCATTGTTCTTGGACAACACTTATTTAAATGTAAAATGCTTTTTTAAGCCTCTAATTTATGACGCTAACACTTTTACTCCCTCATTAATTTGTGCAAAAATGTACCACTTATGCCGTTTGTTTTTCACTTTTCCTTTGATGGACTAAAATTGTTCGTGTTTGATAACTGAAGGACTAACATGGCAATTACACATCTAGTGATATTCTTAAGTATGCAAGTGCATAAAATGTACACATGCATGTGCAAAATTGCAAATGTACCTGTTGATGTTGATCCTCGTGATTTGCTTGATAATTGTATGTTTCATTGACGTGATAGCTTGCAGTCCCTTCTACTTCCTACAATTCAATGTTTAATGTTAGAAAATGAGTTGATCTTCATGATTTGTTCTACTTCGAAAAACATGCAGGAAACAAATAAGAAGTCTACATTTAGAAGCACATTTATAATGAAACATGAATATCTACTCCTATAAGAAGATGCAAGACCAAAATGGCATGGAATTATATACCATATTACCATCCAGCTTGCAATTCAAAGCCAAGCACATTTTATTGTTTAACTTTCTCAGTTCACAAGCATATGATTCAGCTCTTCAACACGACAAATTTTTAAATTATTTAAAGGGTGGGCATTTAAGGCTTCATGCATGCAATCTCACCCTATACTTATATAAGATGTTAAGCCAAACTCACAATAACTTCAGCATATCCATACAGATACTCCTAACCAAATGAAGAGCAAGAGAATAATGGGATTGGAGAACAGATCCAAGCAATGTTTCCACACAATCAAACAAACTTGAAAAAATACATGCTAAGTGACAAGCTGTGGCATCCGAAAAAAACAATCCTAGGAGGCTAAACCCTCATTTCCTAAGTTAAATTTTTAAATAATCATTTACCAAAATTTATCTTATGTTAAAATGGCTATAACAAAATCACTTGATCACTAGGATACAAGTGCAAACATATGTACAAGTACAATTAACACATGTAAAAGATGAAAAAACTAGTCATGCCAGAAACATAAGAAAAAAGTGAACATAAGAACATAAGATAACATAAAGATGTGAAACATTTTGTGATATTTTAGTTTTACCATGCTACCCCTACGATAGAACTCTATTTGTGTAAACATTTTCAAGGTTGAATGTTGAGGATTAAAGTTGTTTGATTGTTGGGATATTGGGGGACTCTCCATTTTGCTCTGGATGATTCGGCTTGGGATATTGGGGGACTCTCCATTTTGCTCTGGATGATTCGGCTCTATGAAGTAGATAAGTTTAGTGGGGTGCACTCTTTTATTCTGTATATTAGTTCATTAATTTGTATATAGCTCTAGTATATTTTTTTAACCTTTACTTTTCTTGTTGAGAAGTTTCTTTTGGAAATAGACACTCTACCTATGCAGGCTTTGCTAGGTAAGGGTTAGGTCTGTGAACCCCTCACATCCTACTTATGTGACTTCACAAAGTAGGTTGTAGTAGTAGTTGTAGGAGTAGTAGTAAATACATATTGTTTTTACTGTTCAGATTGAGCAAAAGGTTATATAATATACATTTGTTTCAAAAACAGAAATATGCGTCCATAAACTGGTTTACTTCATATAAAAAAACCCTCTATAAATGCATTGTGTAAAAACCAAAAAGTAGCCTTCAACTGCTGAAATTTTGAAACTCAAGTAACAAGACCTTAAATAACCAGGGTTAGTGATCAAACTAGTAAGACCCAAGCTAACAATCTAACTAGAAGTCTAGAACAATGAGACACATTGCCTATGGCCTATGTTTTATTTTTACCTTTTGTTTCATCTTTGTATCCAGTAGTTCTTGCACATAATCATCAACGTTATTAAAGTAGGATGACACATCGACGGAGAAAACAAAAATCTTGCCATGTGTCACCAGTCCACCGCCATTTTTTCACAAAATTCCCATGGCAGCTTGCAGAAAAGCCGCCATGGCATTCTGTAATGGATACCGTTTATCAAAACTATTACTCCCTGTAAGTTGGCAGTTCAAATGAAACGTCATGTGTCCAACTGGTTGAGCTACGTAAAAAATATGACTCATTTGTTTGAGGCATACTTCATTAAAAGTCAAGCAATGTGCATGTCTAGCTCGATGCCAAAAGCTAGAAAATATACCCAAGTGGTAATTTTGTAGATCTTTAACCATACCCACCAAAGAACAAATAACTATTCCATTATACATTAAATTCAAATTCATTATAGCAATAATCCGCTTCAAAACTAGATCCCACTTAAAATTCAATGCAGAAAGAACCCACTTCATAGTACAAAATCATTAGTGCAAATATTAGTTCAGGTGGCCAACCTTTCAAGAAATGCATGACCCGAATACATCCAAACTTCAACGTACTCTAAATTTGTCTAATTGAATCAGTAATATTAGTTCCACTTAAAACAAGTGAGCTATAATTTCCACAGCAGACAAAAGCACACATTTTTAACAAAACCAAGAGTACAAACAAAAGGGAAAATGTGTGCGTAAACTATAGAACAGAACAAGCTTTGATAGTAAGCATCATATTGCATGGTAGAAAAGTGGTTTGAATTTTGAATTGCAAAAGAAAACAAAGTTAAACATTAATAAACATTGAACCTTTGGTTGGTATTGCACTCCATTATCTTCCACATGCACCTGCACAGACACATCTAAAGGTGGAACTGGCTCATGTAGTGGAGCCTGAAAAGACCCATAAGTCATCGCAGCTGTTTGCAGTCCAACTGGTGCAGCTACAAAATATTGAGAAGCCATAATCTTGTTCAACTTGGATCTCAATCCAGCATCTATTAAGAGTAGACAATGGAATATGGTAAGACACCATAGGTAAGAACTGACATAACAGAACATCAATGTGGATTTAGAGAAATACATGTTCTTTATCAGAAAAATACTTGTATAGCTCAATGTTACTCCAACTATAATAAAATTGTGAATGAAGGCCATTAATAGCAACATCAGTAGAGAGGCAATGCCTAAAAAAACACGGTAATAATAAATAAGGTTTATAGATTAATCACAAATTCTATATATCAGAAAAAGAAAACCCAGTTACTTACAGGTAACGTCTGAGTCTGATTCAATTGGCTGCGTGGAATTCTCGAGCCAGAGTTTGGCATGTTCAATACATCTCTGGAGGGCGTTCTTGTGAGGCAAAGACGAGTTGGCAGGCCGAGAAATTAGCAGCCCGCTTAGCATCGAAAGCAAATCCAGGTCCCTCTCATTTAGCAGATCAATGGAATCATCATCTTTCATGTAATCATATGACAGGCAACTTCCCCTCTCGTGTTCCCGCGAAAGCATCATCTCTGTGAAGTGGTTCTGCAGGTTTTTAACATCGAACATGCTGCCAAAATACATAAGATTCAACAGATCCTCGGCCACTAGTAACCTCTCCTCTTCTCCCTTACTCTCCACATCTTTCTCGGGCTCATCCGGAGATTCCTCGTTCGTCGTGGCAGCCACTGGGGCCTCCTGTAAGGACGCTTGCTGGCTTTGAGCCGAGATGCTGATCTCCTCTTCCACGGCGGCAGAGATCGGAAGACGGATCTTCTCTAGCTCGTCGATTCCAGCAAGGATTGCAGGCTTGGTGCGGAGTGTCTCTTCCTGCTCCTTATTTAGGGTTTTGCCTTTGGAAAGCGACTCTTCCATTTGAGAGATGCGGTTCAGCTTCTTCTTGAGTGCGCGGATGCGCTTGTTGATGACGCTGAGGACAGGTCTATCGCCGACGTCCGATGCCTCGGTGGCCGCCATGGATAACACTGTTCAGATAAGGGTTTTGGAACGGCGATTGGGGTTTAAAGTGAAGGGATTCTAGTCTAGTGTAGAAGTGGAAGAACCATCGAAAGGTGAAACCACTGGACATTGTTCGTTTGGGCTGGTTTGGGAGTACCTGATTCCAATAAAAATAAGTAATAAATAAAAAAAGATAAACTATAGAGAAAATGGCCTAAATCGAATTCAATTTTAATTTATTTTTTGAACTTATAAGATGCCAATCTGATATCTCTATCAACTATCAACCAGTACCCATCATTGGTTACTGTTTGACACCGCTAACTATCTTCATAGTGGATCATCACTGCTATTTGCTAGTTAAATCAGGATTTTAAATTATTTCAAACAACATTATTTCAAATTTTAGATTTCATATAATTTCTCTCATATTTCAAAACTCATATCTTATTATATTTTTCAAACTCATCAAACTAGTCTTAGATTTAAGGTTCGTCATTTTCTCAAAATGTGATTCTCCTTCCCTTTCTTTTTCCCTTCCATTTTTTTAATACTCTCTCGTCCCACAAAAAGATATCACATTTTCTTTTTCATTTGTTCGAAAAAAGTTTCCACTTTTCGCTTCTAGAAACAAAAATGAGAAATTTACATCTTGTTTCATGAACGACGTACATTTTTTCAACGTATTTCTGAGTTGGCTTTTGTAAATATTGTTTGTTCTATAACCTAATCACTCATTTGGCAAACTTATACCATTATTCTTGTGTCGTTATGTTGGACATCCTCAGATAATCATCGAGTACATCACCAGATGTGTCGTATATCAGTTGTCAAATTGCCTCAATACATTTTGGCAAGGTAATAAAACACACCTTAGCTAAGGCATCCATTGCCTCAAAATGGCCCGGTTTGTTCTCTGTTGAGGTAGTATATTCAAAATTTAAATATTCGCCGTTATTCTAAATTCATCATATATAAGAGAGTAATTCCATAATTGATCAATTATAACATGAGATTTTTTTATATTTAGTCATGTATCATCAAATATTACGTCCGTGATCTTTCTTTTTGAGTATATTTCCACAAAGAGTCTTTTTTGACATTTAGTAATGCATGTGTTAAGTGGACATCAACCTTATATCAAATGACGCATTCTGATATCGGTTAGACAAATAAGACAATAATAATGACTATGGTCGTAGATTAGATGTCAATGAAAACCCACATATGTAGACTGTGATTGTAGTAGACAATGCTTATGATTCACAAACGATGCATCAGAAGCAACATTTAAAATTGTGAATGACAATAAATTATATTTTTACTCCTCTAATTAACATCAACATAACTCGAGATCAAATAAAAAACTATTTGTGAAAAATACTCATAAAAAATAAATACAAATATAATATTTGATAATAGAAAACTAAATATAAAATAAAAAAAAGTTAAAATTTGTAACTTTTTTTCAAGAAAAAAGAAGAACTAGTAACTTTGTGAAGACAAAAGAATGAGGAATTAGAAATTGAACAGCAGGCCGTCATCTAAACTAGCCACCGTAAAATGGTATTCTGCGGTGGTCGTTGTTCCCCCGTCCACGGACAACTTCTTACCTCCAACCTCAGCAAAAGTTACTGAGGGGAACAACCGCCGTCCTCGTGTTCGACGAAATGCCTGAGAGATGGGCTCGCACATTCAAAATCTTTTCATTCCATCCCCGCAGTTGAGCGCCCACTTCGTCTCCCCACTCGTTTTCGCGTGCAGTCCCGCTTTGAAGGTCTATTGTCCGCCGAAACCCAAAGGTATTGGTCTCGGAGTGGGGAAAGCGATGGGCGTGTTCGGAATTCTTGAGGTGAGGGGGAGAATCGGGGGGTGCGATTTGCGTTGTTGTGCGGGAGAGATGGCGAGTGAAGGCGACTCAGAGCTGGAAGCGAGGGTTTTGGAGTTCATGGAGAAATCGGGAAATCCCAAGGCGTTTCCGACCAGGAAGGAGTTGGAGAAAGCTGGAAGGTTCGATTTGGTTGATGCCATTAGGGCCAGAGGAGGGTGGTATGCTCTGGGTTGGGATTCAGAACAATCGGACAATGAATTCGAGAAGCTGGACATTGATTTTGAAATCAAGAGGCTAAGAAGGAGAATGAGGAGTTCTCTAGGAGCTGCAAATCTTGCAAACAAGGAATTGGAGACTGCAGTGTTTGAAGACAGTGATGTGGAGTCATCTGGGTTTGATTTCTCTTCTGAGAGTGTCTCTTATCCAGCTTCTTCATCTGGTAGATTATTGTGAGGTTCCTATTCTGGATTTTCAAATGTTTCTTGTGTGAAAATACTACTCCGTATTATAGAAGTGATTGATAATTTCTCCCCGATTGAATGGATTCTCATTGAAAACCAAATGAAGTATTCTTCATTCAATGATTATACCACTTGTTGACTTTTTTCTTCAATCTTTGACGCAGAGAAGCTGAATCTGAGGAAAGAAGTGGGATCGAGGGGATACTAAGTCGATTAGAAAAGGAGAGGAATTCTTCCCTGGGTATCAATATTGCAAACTATAGAAATGGAGATCATGCATCAAGCACAGATGACCAAAAGAATCAGAACTCTGTTGCCACTGCTTCTGGTAAGTGATTTTTTCGTAGTTACCAAGGAACTATTGTGACTTTGTTGTTAATGTTTTTCTTTACTAATGGTATAAATCAAGGCTTTTTTGGCAACATGTAAGGTATCTATCTACTCACGAGTCTTAAGATTGCACTCATTGCAGTGATCTTACCATTGACTTAGTAGTTGATTTTGAGTTTCAGCAGCTTGGGACCTTTTCTGTGAACTGATTGCACATTTGCACCAATAAAGGAAAAATAGCATTGTTTCTGTAATGTTGTTTTTTTATGTCCATTGTGATGTATGGTCACCCATAATATCATTTTCTCAAACTTCTCCATATGTCCCTCAAATATCATTTTTGGCGTGTTCAACAGAGATGGTTGTAATTCTTTATTAGGCGTGCATCTAATTTTTCATTTCCATGTGTACACGCACTTGACTTAGGACTTAGGTTATTAGGAGGGAGTTAGGTGTAGTTGGGTGCCTCTGCAGGGGCTGTATTGTTGGGTTGTTTTCTACTAATGTATTCCGAAGTTGTTCCCTTACTGTTAATCTTCTCATATTTGATTGTTTGAACCTGTTTTTATGTTTTCTTGAGCCGGGGTCTTTCTATCTTTGTAGTTAGGTGAGGTCTGTGCTCACCTGCCCTCCCCAGACCCCATTTGTAAGTGGGGCATTACTGGGCTGTTGTCTTCGACACGTTGTATGTTTACACCCACCAAACTACCAACGTAAAAATAAAACTGCTCCTACACAGGTTTAATGAAAATATTCACTATAAAGAGGGTGAAAAGAGCATGCACATTAATGTTTTTAACTTCCAACTAACTTAAGAATCACTTCTTGATTTGTGCCTCAAAAGATAATGGACTTCATTGTTGGACATAGAGAGTTTAATCTTATTTCATCATTGAAAAGACAGGACTGACCTTGGAATGATCAATAGCTTTCAGAGAGTTAGACCGGATATAGGGAGAGCATGGAGTATTCAACGGGCTGGCTATCAAGATACAGAATTTGAAGGTCTTTATTCATCGATCTCCAGATCACTGCATAGAGGGTTCATTAATTTCACAATTGAGATATCATTGATTGCCTTAAATGTATTTATAAATTTCCCACGGAGCAATTGGCCATGATTTGATCCATTCTCCAATAATGTACAGCTGATGAGATTGCTTTTAGTCAAAGTAGAGAAGGTGAGAGAAGAATTTCAATAACTGGCATAGGTCCTCCTGCAGAAAATGTTACCAATGATTCACATAGGCAAAATGGTAACAATCACTACAACATAAGAAGTCGTCTTCAGCACCTAGAAGTTGAACTTGCTTCAGCTCTTCAGCTGCTAAGCTCTAAAAGTGAAGAGCATGCTTCAAGAGAGGTGGGATATCTTATTCTTCTAGTTTTTTATTAGACCATCTACATCTAATGATCTAACAATGTTTTAGGGATTGCCATCTTCTTCTCATAAGTTCATCTAGACTTACGGCTGTCCTTAATAGAGAATCTAATTGCTTTTATTTCTTGTTAGCAACTTGTCACAGCCAATGTTCGAAATTGCGTATTGCGGTTTTGAGGCGTTTTCTTTTCAAGGCGTATTGCGTAAGCCTTGGGGCGTTTTGAGGCGTAAGCCTCAATTTTTAAACTGAAAAATATCCACAAAACAATTTAAAACTAAAGATAGAACATAATGTATAACATAAATAATCCAAAAAACATTAAAAAAGTATATTGTCAAAGTAATAATTGCAATTCACATATTTGTAATTTTTTTTTGGTCCTTCATTTTTGGGCGTTCAGTAAACACCATATTTCTATGCTGGGTCTGACATTTGAGAAACCTAAATAAACAATATAACACTATGCAACAACTCATCTTAGAAACAAAAAACACAACAATTAACACAAAAATAGTCAAAAAAGAAGAACAAAGGAGATTAACAGCTAGAAACAAAAAAAAGATTAACAGTGGTATGCCATCAAAAGCAGAGACGGAAAAAAACCAGCCTCAATTATAAATCGGTCCAGCTCCTCCATTTGTATACCTTTTGCCGGAAAAAAAAACAAAAAAAAATGTACCTGTTATGGCAATGGAGACGGAAAACAGAGAGAAGCAGAGACAGCTGACGCTATGAAGAAGATGAATCAGGTTGGTAATCGCATGTTTAGGGTCACAATTAAGGTCATCAACAAGGTAATTTTAAAATATATACACTTAATTTGGGTAATTGACAACTTTAACCTTTGTTTTTCTAATTTTAAGATGGTGAATTGCGTACGCCTCATTGCGCGCACCAGTGCGTACGCCCCATGGCGTAAGTTTTTAAGCAAATTGCGTAAAATAGCTAATTGCGTGAATCGGGATAGGCCCCATGGCGTTAATTTACGGAAAAAGACTCATCGCGCGCCTTGAGGCGGGTTTAAGTTCCGCCTTTTCAAACATTGGTCACAACATTGAGAAACAAAATGACCCATCAGAATCTGAAAATGGGGAGTTTGAGTTTTCATTATATACAACAACAACAACCCAGTTAAATCCCACAAGAGTAGGGTCT